GGATTATAGATGATTATAGTATCATACTGGGATTTATTCTGGATAATTATGGCATATTTATCATAAACTATCCCCAATAGAGGTTCATGAAACTGGTAGCCCCAGATGTAGATATCATGACAGTCACGGAAAAGGATTTCCCAATCATTCGCCTAGTGGGGATGAACTTTCGCCGGGGGAAACTATGGTTAACCATGATTAACTATGGTTTATCACGATGTCAATGGGAATTTAAGGATCCTAAAATGGAGGTACTGTACCATATTTTTGGCCATATTTTGCTGGGATATTCCCTTACATAGGCCTGAATTTTAGGCCTTATATAGGCCTTATATAGGCCTTATATATGGTAGGTACCTCCAATTTAGGTTCCTGAAATGGCCGTTGACGATGGGTTTAATGGATAAGTATGGATAAGTACTGAACCTAGCCTGTGGTAATTAAACCATTTCCTATGCTATAGATAGCCATAGATAACCCATTTACTTCGATGATTTCTGCTACAAATATGGTCCATTTACCCATTTCCTAGATCATGGATTTCATATCAATAATGTCCTTTTGGTAAAAATAGAGGGGTCGGTTTGGTATACCATCTATCATCACAGAAACCTGTTGTTAAAGGGGTTTCTTCAAACCCCTCTATTAATCAACCAGCCAATGGGAAAAGGACATCTATGTTTCATATGGCTATGACTATGGGTCAAAATCCACCGCTCGTGAACCCCGATGGATGGGCCAAGTGATGCCAAGTGGCAACTCCAAGGGCAGGACTTGACGCTTGGAGTCATGAAACCTGGGAACTGTTAGGAAAACCCAGCAGCGAATGTGGTTTTTCACCATTGCTTTTCGGAGTAAAATGCAATAAACAACATGCTTTCAGTATTCTGATACAGCAATCATGTTCATTTTTTACGGTTACTCACACACACACATATATATATATATATATCTATCTTGTACAATGCCAAATTGCCAACATCTTTTAATCTTCTACTTTCAAAAAACACAGAACATGTTCACAAGTTTCGCTTCGCCATAAATGTTTTTGGGGCCCCCGACCGGATGATGAGGGTCAAGTCTGTTTGGTTGTGCACTCGCAGGGGTGCGGCCAGTACGATGAGCTTGTGCGAAGGCACTGGCGAGAGCAGTTCCTTGGACATCGGGCGTCATGTGGCCCCAAAGAACTGCATGGTGGGGAGAATCTAGAGGAAACCAGGGATTTCTTTCATAAAATAGATGGGATTAGATGGGATTTCAGGGGAGATTGAGCAGATTTAGACCATGACATGATGTTAAAACTTTTTTTACTCATATCTCTTGGTTACATCCGCATCTTTGACACTACCAGTGCCATGTAACAATTCACCTGAAAGTTGTGCCAGATTGCGCCAGCATGCTCACTGCTTAGGGGCGCAGTTGCAGTTCATAGGTGAACATATAGCTCGAGTTACAGGGGTTGTATGTCCCAACTTATCATTATTTGAGCAAAAACCCTTAGTCCTATACTGGCTGGTTGATAGGTAGTCAAACCCCTGTCATGAACAATCAACCATCAACCAACCATCAATCGCTCATCTCCAAGTATATCCCCATGTTTGGTGGATCAAAACCACTGTAGCTGATAGTAAAATCCTTGTCTAATGAGTCTAATAGCCATCTTCAGGCTTCTAAATCATAATTATCACTATTAATACCATATCAAATCATATAACTAAGTAGTATCACTCCTATAGTAATCTACCAAAGTTGATATATGCATACATATATAACTACTATATATATATATACATACACATAATATATATATATATATACATTTATATATTATATATACATGTATAAATATATATATATATACACACATGTTTTCAGCACTGCTCAGTCCCCCTAAACCGCGGCCCCCGAAACGCCGCGTTCTTCGTCCAGGCTCTGCCACGCAACTGCCCAGCGGTTCCTTCTGCTTGAGGCGGCCAGGTTTCAGCATCACGGCGCCTGATGGAAAGATCCACCATTTTTCATGGGAAAACTCACTATAAATGGCAATTTTCAATAGCAATAAGCTAAGAGATGGAGAGAGAGAGAGAGAGAAATATATATATATATACATCTATTTCTTTATTTATGTATTTATTTATTTATTTATATGTATTTGCTTATTATGATATGTGTATATATATATATACATACAGTATACATCAAAAATGGGAATATGCATAATATGCGCAGTGATTTTTTAGCATGTTTTGTTTGGACGTGGAAAACCACTGAGGAAACTGTAGAAATAAAAACAAATGATGGGTTGTTTGCCATGGTTTTCCACATTTATGTTAGTTTACACGAGGATAAAATCGTTTTGGAAAGTGCTCCGAACATGCTGCTTATGAAAACATGGTAAAACATGTACAGGTTCAACCAGGAAACAATGTTCAGGATTCAGGATGACTGAATCCGACATGTAAAGAACTTCCAGGGTCCAAACCCTTGTCACTTACACTACATAAGCGTTGCCGGATGACAACGCAAAGTACCCTCTGGTAATTTAACATAGCCATGGAAAATGGCCCATTTATAGTGGATTTACCCATGAAAAATGGTGATTTTCCATAGTTATGTGACAGTTTACCAGAGGGTATCCCTTCCTATCACTGTTGTCCCACGGCTTGTCTGGAAACATCATCACTGCTATGTTCTAAACTCCACGGGGAGGAGCGTCTCACTTCGCAGGTAGAAATACCCAGCACTAACGAGTCGTGGGGTGATTATCCTAGCCATCAAATATCATTTAATTACATCCCCATATCTTTGGTGGTTAAAACATGTTAAAACCCCCTTGAAAGCCAGACAGAACTACATCAAAAACCCTATATACAGATGGGCCATGTTAGAACCATAAAAAAGTATATCTGGTTGGTGGTTGACCTACCCCTCTGAAAAATGTGAAAGTCAGTTGGGATTATGACATTCCCAATATATGGAAAAGTAAAAGCCATGTTCCAAACCACCAACCGGTAATGGCTTCATCGGTTAATCTATATATAATCCATCTACATAAACCCGTACAGATGGGCTAGAACATGTTAGAACGATAAAAAAGCTATATGTTACCCTCTGGTAAATTAACACAGACCCTGAAAACAGCCAATTTTTAGTGGAAACTAGTCTTTCACCCCCTGCCAGGGTCTATGTTAGTTTACTGGAGGGTAACCTTTTACCCTCTGGTGAACTAACATAGCAATGCAAAATGGCTATTTATAGTGGATTTTCCCAGCTACAGAATGGTGATTTTCCATTGCTATGTTAGTTCACCAGAGGGTAAATCCCATTAACATCCCATTGAATCACTATAAAATTCCATGAAATCCCATTGAATCCCATTAAATCCCATTATTTTTGGGTGTATTCTTGGATTAAACCATGGTAAATCCCCAAACGTTCCCCAGTGAGCCGTCGGAAAGCCGCGGCACCTGTTCGTTCCAGGGAGAGCCATGGTGAACCGGAACTGGTCTCACCGTGCACCTGGCTCGGCTCGTGGATTTTCATGGGATTTACATGGAAAATGATGGGAAATGGTACATATATATATATATATACACTTGGAAATATCATATAAATATATCATATATATATATATCATATACATCCATCACATATATCTTGGCATATACTGGTTGGTGGTTTTAAACATCTTGACAAATATGAAAGTCAATGGGAAGGATGACATCCCAGATATGATGGAAAATAAAAAATGTTTGAAACCACCAACCAGCATATGCATATAAATATATATATATATATACGTATATATACGTATGAATATCTTGGAAAATATCATATAAATATCTCATATATATCCATCATAGATATCTTGGCAAACCATAATATTTCACTAACCTAAAATTGTTGGGCATCAAATCAATATCAAATACCAAGACAAAGAAAAATCAATATCAATCAAGTCAACCCAACAACCAACCACAATCCCTGGTGGATTGCACCCCATCCCAGACCCCTAAGCTTCAGACGTGCGCGGTAACGGCAGTGGCAAAGTGAGGAAGGATCCACTCCTGACAGCCAAATGGCTTGCATTGCCCTCTGGGAATTTAATGTAGCTAAGCTCTGGAAAATTACATTTTTTTTCAATAGGCAAAACACATGTTTTATCATGTTTTATCATCTATAAATGGGATTAGATGGGGGATTGCTATTGCTATGTTAAATAGCCGGAGGGATTAATGATTATTCATCAACAATGGGACGGATCATTAAAAACATCACGATATCCGCAGAAATCAAAGCGTCAAGGGATATCAAGTTGAATATGTGCCCCAAAAAAAGATCAGGAGAGGCCCTTTTTTAAGGCAACTCCTGATCTTGTCGAAGCAAATGGATCATTAATTCAATCCATTGTTCATCTTTATTTAAGTGAACTCTCCAGTTTGTTGTGGTGCACTGTGATGACCAATGGCGATTCATAAATTAGATATATCATCTTGTTGGTGGTTGACCTACCCCTCTGAAAAATTTGACTTCGTCACTTGGGATTATTCCCAAGATATGGAAAGTCATAAAATTCCATGGTTCCAAACCACCAACCAGTCATTATATCCCCATTACATCTCCATACTCTCCATCGGCATCCCAAGGATCCCAAGGGTCCAGCGGAACTGAACGAGAGGTGGCCCAGCACTGAACTGATGTTTCTTGCAATTTCTTGATTCAATCGCTTCAATCCCATTGAAATGTTGTTAACCAAGATTGTTTATTGGTTCAATCACCGTGCTGTTTTTTTTAAATGTTTTTCCTGCTTATGTATATCAAATTATACCATCTGGTTATTTAACATAACCATGGAAAGATCCACCATTTTTGAGTTCGGTAAACCATGGTAAACCATCTACAAATGGGCTAATCTATTTTCCATGGCTATGTAACAAATAACCAGAGGCTATCAGGTTTTTCTTGTTTAACAACACCCAGACATACCCAAAGCTCCGATTTCAGCAGGGCACATCCAGGGACTTCCAGTCAGATCCACTAGGCTTCACCGAGCTGGTCAAATGCTTGGCATAGCGCGAGCGGAAATGAAGGTCGATGGGCGAGCCGAACCTCCATGGAATGTCAACCAAGAACGGGTGATTTCTAGAGCTGCTTGGTGGTTCACTGGGTTGGTTTAAGGGAAAAGTTTAACAGGAAACCCCCATATTTAATGGTAAAAACCATGGTTTCCGGTTAAGATTTTCCCTTGAACCAATCCAATGAGTGGTGGTGCAATCACCAACTGGAAAAATGATGGAGTTCGTCAATATGGGAAGGATGACATCCCATATATCATGGAAAATAACAAATGTTTGCTTAGTAGGGTTGCTGGATGGGGGGGTTGCTGGGATTACTATTGATAGTTAGCCAGTGGATCATTCCCGAAAATTGCCGACGTAAAATGCACCAGTAAGATGAAGCCAACCAAAAACGGGTGATTTTGAGGGATGTTAATGGGATCCAATGAAAACCTACTTCGGAGTGCAGTTGGGCTTATGCATGGGTGTAAAACTATGGTAATAACCTCCATGAGTTGGGATATAACCCCTACAACTATACTTGCAAGTAACCAAGAAACAAACGTGATTTCATGGAATGATGGGATTGAATGGCATGTTGATGGTATTTCACACAAATTGATAAATGCTAATGCTAAGTTCGAGAAGTTCAAGGGTGTTTAATGGATTTCAATGGAATTTAATCAACAAAAGTGAGACACTATAGGAATCTTAATGTGAAAATAATGGGAAACCAATTCTCAATGGCTTTAACCAACAAGCTACCCTCTGCGTTGAGAAAAAACAATATATATAATATATATATTATATATATATAATATAAATATATATATATTATATATCACAAATAAGAGACTAAGCGCAATCATTTTTGGAGATTATTAACTATGGTGGTTTCAACCCGAAAAATGCATCCCCAATCGGATCCCAATCTGTGTTGGGAAACTCAAGGGAAATCCCATGAATTTCCTGAGTTAAGTGATTCTATGATATGCCATTGTATGTGTATATATATATATATTAATATATACAAATATGTCAGTGATCACATCATATACTGGTTGGTGGTAAAATAACCATCTTGAAAAATATGACTTCGTCAGTTGGGATGATGACATTTCCAATCATGATAGGGAAAAATAATCCAAATGTTCCAGTCACCACCAACCAGTTTATAAAATATTATCAGTTGGGATGATGACATTCCCATATATTATGGAACATAATCCAAATGTTTGAAACCACCAACCAGTTTATATACCATGATATCTCCATCTAAGCCCCTATCCCCATTTTCTCCGACTCCGACACCCCCGACAGAGGGTTCCGGATCCCAGGCGCAGGTTCACCACGCGATACTTCACAGCTTGCGCAGGACCGCCATTCGGATGACTTGGTGCCTGGTCACCACCCACCTGGGAAAAGGAGGTAAGAGCCTGGGTCAGGTGCAGAACTGGAGTTGATTGGCAAGGTAAATATATGATATAACAATTATCATAGTATAAAGATGTTAAAGTAACGCTAATTAAGCAATGATAAACCACCATAAGCCACCTATATGGTCTCTTTCTTCCTCTCTCTCTCTCTCTCCATGGCAAAGTAACTATGATATGATAATTATCATAGGGAAACAAATAACAAGTAATAAGTAACATAAGTAATGTTACTAAAGCAATGATAAACCAGCTATATTGATTGACGGTGTATATACCAGCTATGGCCAACTGGTTCCCAGCCAAGGTACCAGGGAAGAGGAGGTCACCGATTCGATGAAGAGTGGCATGATGTACTTCAATCGTTTCACCTGGGAAACGAAAAGAAGTCCTGGGGAAGCTAACATAGCTATGGAAAATGGCCATAGAAATAGTGGATTTACCCATTGAAAATGGTGCTTTTCCATAGCTATGTTACTTTACCAGAGGGTATGTTTTTTTTTTTGGGGGGGGGACAATATTCTATATCCTACATTTTTTTAAAATTGAGCCATGCTATATGTTTTGGATGATGTTCCTTTCAATCGGTTGGGTTCAACTACTTTTTGCTCACCGGAAACATCCGGAAAATGTTTGTTTTTTTACACTCAACCAGTTCCAAGCAAAATTGTGGGTTTGAGGACGGACATGGGGAAATTTTACCTGTTCATATGATAAAATCCTTCAATTAATGGTTTGGAACATTGTGTTCCAAGTGGACAAAAATGATGTTGTGGGGTCCATTCAAGTACCATGTGAGGTTTTTGGATACGTGGGGACCCATGAAGTCAGTAGCTACTAACTGGGGCCTGAATAGAACCCAGCTACACTCGTTTCATGTCAACGCCTGCTTAATACTTACCCTGCTTGATTAAATAATTAGGATCCATTAACTATGAACTATAGTAACATCCCCCAATATCCCCCGTAAACCCCAGTTAGCCAACTTAGCTAAGTAAGGGGTAGCCCCCAGTCATAGTTACTTCATCGATGATCAACAGCCCAGCTGGCTCATTGAAGCAGCAACTTGTGAATATCACCCTCTGGAATGACGTTTTCCATAGATATGGACACATAGCAATGGAAATTTGCAGGTTTATACCTGACTTTTGTAATCTTAAAAAAATGGATTATCCGTAGCCAAATATTACCAAAGGGCAATTGAAACATGGAACCCAAGTATTGCTGCAGCATCACCGAAAAAATGTTGGTGCTACAGAACACCCTACTCAGCACAGTCAGCACGAACCAACAAAAACAGTACCCTGCCCCACATTTATATCTCGCATATGAACTCATTGACCCCCAGGCAACTCCTGCCCCCCCCCGGAATGGGTAGCATAGTCTGTTAACCCAACCCGTAGGAAAATAAAGAAACATCATGTTTGAATTACCATTGCAATCTTAGATTTTTCGTGGTATTCTCTGGTAATCAAACTCGTCTTTGCCGGTGGCCCTGGAGCAGGTGCCCCGCTGAAGTTTGTCCCGAAGCAGCCTTCCTGGTCCCAATGCCGAAGTTCTTTGGGATGGTTCTAAGGGATTGCCCCGCCTAAAAACCTCCATTAAAACATGCATGTTCATGCATTTTCCCACATTTTTTATTTATTTTCCCAGCTATAAACCTGCATTTAGTTCGGCGATTTTTCATGGCCATTGCCACGTTGGTTTCGCGTAGGCCAAGGAGCTGTGGAAGGCGTGACGTTCACCAGCATTGGTTCGTGCCCCCGGAGGTGTACCTTGCGGCGCTTAGGGAGCCTGGCAACGTAAATCATGGGGAAATCCTACGTTACGATGGGCAATTTATAATTATCTAATCTATGTTTCACCAATATCAAAAATTGGTTGGTGGTTTTAACAATCTTGAAAAATGAGTCAATGGGAAGGATTATCCCATATACTATGGAAAATCAATGAATGTTTGAAACCACCAATCAGAAAAATTGTATCATTAATAAAAGTGCAAACATTATCTATATATGTACAACATTTACTCATCATGTTTTCACCACATGTAAATCAATGTTTTACTGTGAATCCAGCATTTGACTCATTGTTCCCATATTTAGTTTCGTCTGAAACTCATGAATCAATCATTTTTCCTATAACCTATAAACCAACTTAGCTATCGGGTATCGTTTGGGGGGATCACCTTGTATATAATACTGCTGGACTATTGGGTTTATTATTGGGTATGTATGAGTATGTTCCTATTGTGGAATTTTGCGTTGAAATCTCCATTTATGGTGGATTTTCCATTGCCACGTTTGATTACCGGAGGATACAATCCCATTAAAAACCCCAAAAGAATCCTATCAAAATCACATTGAAATTAAAAAAACATTGAAGTCCATTCCAATTAAAATCCATGAGCATCCATCATTCATCCTCCAGATCCCAGGCACGTGCAAGTCCCGGTCGTTCTCGAAGGCCTTTCGCTCCACATCGAGGCCCAGACCTTTCCATGCCGAGGATGCCATGGGAGAAGGGGAAATCAATGGTCATTCCAGGATCCAACAAATGGAGGTACGTAAACGTACCATATTTTTGGCCATATTCTGAGGGTATATCACCTTACATAGGCCTGAAAAATAGACCTGAAAGAATGGAATCGGTACCTCCAATGAATCGATTCCTTCTCGATGGCCAGTGAGGAAACCTGGAGGTAAAACCCTCTGGTAGCGATGGAAAATTCGACAATTGTCAATCGGTAAACCGCCAGATTTTTTATCATCTATTTCTATGGGCCAAAAATTGCCGTATGTTGAATAACCAGAGGGTGATACAACACACATGGTGATTTTTTAGTGGGATGTTATGATATGGTATGATGATTTAATGAACTTAATGGTGATTTCACCTAGAACAATTGTGACTTTAATGTGTGTTAAATGATATTAATATTATTCTAATGGATGACCTGGGAGGCCTAGCCTCACTTTCGCCCATCAAAACGACTCACTTGCGCCCACCTTCATGTGTACCTACCTGGGAATGAACATAGGAAAAAACTGGTGATTTAATGAGATGTGAATGTGTGTTTAATGGATTTTAATGTGACTAAAAAATGGATTTCAATACTGTGTTTCCCCGATTGGAAAAAAGGTTCGCAGCGAAGCAGTATTTTTTGTAGGATGATCCTTCCAAGTACCCTCTGATCCCATCCCCCTAATACCCATGACGGATCCATGGTGCTGGTAGAAAAATGCTAACATGACTGGGGTATATTGATGGGATCTATGGAGCACCATATATAGCAGCACCATGGATCCGAAAAGGGATATTAAACATGATTGAATTTCTAAAAAAAAACTATGGTTGAATAGGCAATGAAAGCACATATTTAAGGGTTTTGGGGATCATGCAATGAGGAGTGTTCAATATTAAATAGACGGATTCATGTGGTAAACCCAATTCGTTGTCCATCCCCAACGGGGGATCTGCCCCTATTTGGGATGATTTACCATGACCTCCAAATGGTTGGCGGGATGCTTTATCAACTCAATTACACATGAGTTTTGCAACATTATTCTACAAAGTTCAAATTACTTGGGGGGCACTTAAGATGCTTGCAACTAGATCACCTGTTCCTCTGTGTTGTTTGGGTTACCTTACTCTAATCCGACATGGCGGCAATGTTGGGGCACATGTGGATGTTAGATCGCCAAGAATGACTGCCACTTCAGCAAGTAGGGGAACTCAGCATTTTCTGCACTTTTCACATGATCTTGTTTCTGGTTCATTATCACTTACCACAAGTCAACAGATTGCTTTTCCATTCCATGCGGAATGACATGTGTCCTATCTTTCTTGCACCCTGGATTTGTCCATCTCTGCTCCCTTTTTTTTTGCGCAGCCAAAAGACGGAAACGTTCCAGGATTGGCTCCCACATGCCGCTGTTGGGGTTCAAGGATTGCCTGCATCCAAGCGGTTGAGATATGGCTGAGTCTGAAACAAACAGTCGTTTCATGTCTTTTCCATGGGATATCATAGGATCACATAGGATATAATGGGATATAGTGGGGCATACTGGGATATATTGGGATAATCGAAGCGACCGACCAGAGATTATGTCTGGTACAAAGGAAACCTCAACTTTTGGCAACCCTTTTTTCAACACGCGCAACTGCCTCCCACACTTAGAACATAAAACGACCCTCACACTTAGAACATCCAGAGAACAAACAGTTAGAACATCCAATATGTAGGTTGATTATGGTTGATTGATGTTCTAAGTGTGAGGCTCTAGCAACTGACCCTGGCCCCCAACACACATGGGACCATGGGCAACACCCCACGCATAGAACATCACATCATGTATGCTGTAAGTGACTTGATTTATCTATTTGCATTGAAGACAAAAAAAGTATTGATTAATAAGTAATAATTAAATTTTGTAGAAATATGCATACACACAAACACTTATGTAGTATTCTTTATCCATTTATTTATTTACTTATTTGTTTGTAAGAGTCTTGTATTCATTTGTGGGACTAGCTGCAATTGAGGAAGCTTTCCCCCACCTAATTTTGAATTTGTTGTATACTTGCACAATCCCTTAAGTGAATTTCAACATCCTACAGCGGTCCTACAGCTCTTTCTTTCAGTTCAAAGGGGAGGTAGATGTTCTAAGTGTGGGGCTTACCGAACCTATTGAAGAACCTTGGGGAACCAATTTATTCTACGAAACTGAAACTTGAAGCTCATTTCAACTTCACTTTTCAGCTGCAACCTCTCATCCTTCGCAAGAAAAGTTGTTTTATTACTGGATGGCTTTGGAACCCGACTTTTGGCAATATGTTCATTCGATTTTTGAAAGAATTTATATATTTTGATCACTTCTGACATGGAAAAATAGTTTTTGTTCAAACAATATGTTTTTGATATTGATATTACGAGAAAGCTTCTGAATCCAATGTTTGGCAATATTTAGATGAGGTTTTAAAAGAGAAATTCGTGGATTTTGAAATGGAAAATTGTAGTTTATCCTTTTAAGGTCTAAATTTGATTATTTAGGGGGAAGCTTCTCAGCCTAATGCTCAATACCCCCTTGGAATTCAACTACGAAACGGCCTCATATTTTTTGCACATACATATGCATATGCGCTGGCGAAAACTTAGCATCAACATCAGTTTCCCTTGTGGGGGTCTCCATGGGTGATGGTTAACTTTGTGTTCATATAAATATAGTGATGTCAATAGATATTTATTAAAAAAATATAAATATATGTATGTTGTAATGTCTTGGGATGTTCTAGCTGTGGTGACTTTCTCCCAGTGTACTCATTTTTGTCCAAAATATGTTCTAAGTGATTGCCCGTCGCGATATAATATTTGACATGAAATATGCCTCGAACAAAGCAAGCTGTTACATGCAGGAATGCCAGTTTCCTGTTTGAGCAAAAACCTTTACTAATGGTTAATAAGACCTGTTCACCTGTTCAAACCTTTACATGGTTAGTAACCATTATTAACCTGTTTAGTTCACATGTTCCTTTCAATGCAAGACCTGTTCCAACTGATTTCTGCAACAAATCAGAAGCAGGAACTGAGAATATGATCCCGAGATATCCAGTAGCTCAGTAGCTCAGTAGCATCCCCCAGCAGTTCCGCAATGCAGCTGCGGTGCACTTCTAAAGCTCCATCTTTTACGTGCAAGGTGAGGATGTTCGGCTCCTGCGACACCAGGCAGTTTTCTGCGGGTCCATTGCTAGGTGAAAAAAAACAATAAATTAAGAAAGAAATGCAGGTTACAATTCATGACAATTCCAACATATTCCAACAATGTCATCTGTTCGGTTACCATTCACTCTTCCTCATGTGACATCCTTAGATTGCTATGTTTGAAGGATTTTGAAGGTAGTATTATTCCAGGTAAATGGCTACCTCAGGGGACAGCCAACTACCGTTTTTGAAGCTCAAGACCCAGGGGCTCACGTGGTGACTGCGCCGTGCACGTTCCATCTGCTACCTAAAACCCGACGTTTGCCTTGAAACCAAGATCGCTGCACCAATTTTCACCATCATTTTCTCATTTTCCATCATTTTGCCATATACAATATAATATTATTATAATATGCATATATAAATACATATATATATATATAATGTGCATATATATATATATTAACTACATCACATAATGGTTCTCCCCTTTTACGGCGGCACCTTCTGTTTGTACATCACCATGGGCGCCGTCAGCTCTCCGCGGCAGCGCAACACCGGCACGATGGAATCGGCCAGGACCACGTCAATGGCGGGGAGCATGACCTGTGGCGTACGGTGACGGTGCAGTTCTATTCATGGTTAATAATGGTTACTAATGGTGGTTAATAATGGTTACTAATGGTGGTTAATAATGGTTACTAATGGTTAATAATGGTTACTAATTGTGGTTAATAATTGTTACAAATGGTGGTTGATAATGGTTACTAATGGTGGTTGATAATGGTTGCTAATGGTGGTTTACAATGGTTGCTAATGGTGGTTAATAATGGTTACTAATGGTGGTTAATAATGGTTACTAATGGTGGTTAATAATGGTTACGAATGGTGGTTGATAATGGTTACTAATGGTGGTTAATAATGGTTACTAATGGTGGTTGATAATGGTTACTAATGGTGGTTAATAATGGTTACTAATGGTGGTTAATAATGGTTAATAATGGTGGTTAATAATGGTTACTAATGGTGGTTAATAATGGTTACTAATGGTGGTTAATAATGGTTACTAATGGTGGTTGATAATGTTTACTAATGGTGGTTAATAATGGTTACTAATGGTGGTTAATAATGGTTACTAATGGTGGTTAATAATGGTTACTAATGGTGGTTAATAATGGTTACTAAATGTGGTTAATAATGGTTGCTAATGGTGGTTAATAATGGTTACTAATGGTGGTTAATAATGGTTACTAATGGTGGTTAATAATGGTTACTAATGGTGGTTAATAATGGTTACTAATGGTGGTTAATAATGGTTACTAATGGTGGTTAATAATGGTTACTAATGGTGGTTAATAATGGTTACTAATGGTGGTTAATAATGGTTACTAATGGTGGTTAATAATGGTTACTAATGGTTGTTAATAATGGTTACTAATGGTGGTTAATAATGGTTACTAATGGTGGTTAATAATGGTTACTAATGGTGGTTAATAATGGTTACTAATGGTGGTTGATAATGGTTAATAATGGTGGTTAATAATGGTTACTAATGGTGGTTAATAATGGTTACTAATGGTGGTTAATAATGGTTACTAATGGTGGTTAATAATGGTTACTAAATGTGGTTAATAATGGTTGCTAATGGTGGTTAATAATGGTTACTAATGGTGGTTAATAATGGTTACTAATGGTGGTTAATAATGGTTACTAATGGTGGTTGATAATGGTTACTAATGGTGGTTGATAATGGTTACTAATGGTGGTTAATAATGGTTACTAATGGTGGTTAATAATGGTTACTAATGGTGGTTAATAATGGTTACTAATGGTGGTTAATAATGGTTACTAATGGTGGTTAATAATGGTTACTAATGGTGGTTAATAATGGTTACTAATGGTGGTTAATAATGGTTACTAATGGTGGTTAATAATGGTTACTAATGGTGGTTAATAATGGTTACTAATGGTGGTTAATAATGGTTACTAATGGTGGTTAATAATGGTTACTAATGGTGGTTAATAATGGTTACTAATGGTGGTTAATAATGGTTAACTAATGGTGGTTAATAATGGTTACTAATGGTGGTTAATAATGGTTACTAATGGTGGTTAATAATGGTTACTAATGGTGGTTAATAATGGTTACTAATGGTGGTTAATAATGGTTACTAATGGTGGTTAATAATGGTTACTAATGTGGTTAATAATGGGTTACTAATGGTGGTTAATAATGGTTACTAATGGTGGTTAATAATGGTTACTAATGGTGGTTAATAATGGTTACTAATGGTGGTTAATAATGGTTAATAATGGTGGTTATGGTTAAGCATGATGGGAATTTTAACCATAATCTGGCTTGTGGTTGACCTACCCCTCTGAAAAAGTATGACTTCGTCAGTTTGGTTTTTTATTCCCAATATATGGTTGACCTACCCCTCGGAAAAATATGACTTCGTCAGTTGGGATGATGACATTCCCAATATATGGAAAGTCATAAAATTTATGTTCCAAACCACCAACCAGTAATGGCTTCGTGGGTTAATCTAAATCCATCTAAAGCCGTATAAAGATTGGTGGCCGCGATTTTATGGGAAACTTCACCCATGTCTTGACCGTGGCACATATGGGACCCACGGTGAAAAAAGCACCAGGATGCCATGAATCCTGTGGGTTCACAGGGCTTTAGTCTGTTAGTTTCAGTGGATTGGTTTCAGCAACAAATTTCTTTGAGGGTGTTTATCCTGATGGTTACTTAAACTTACCCTCTGGTAAACATACAAAAAACTATGGACATATCCGCCATTTTTGAATGGGAAAACTCACTATTTCGACTGGGCCATTTTCAATAGCTATGTTCGTTTACCAGAGGGTAGTTATAGTTGACCATAATAGCTAGGAGTTAGTTGGTGCCCCATGGTTAAGTATGTTAAGTCACCTCATCAAGTCGGCTGAAATACGTGGCTAAGTGTTTGGCTCATGGATGTTCATGGTGAGTGATCAATAGTTAGATGCTGATGCCTGTCCCATTGGATTGGTTTCAGCAAATTTATATAACAATATATAACTTTGATTGTTCACCATGTTTAAACCAACCAAACCATGGTGATGAACGGGGATTTCACCTTTAAAAAGTGATACGACATCATTTGGCATTTCATGATTTACCACTTGGAGGATCATCCTGCGACTCCTAACCACAAGGTGAAGCCCCCAAACGATAGCAAAGTTGACTTCTGACTTCGAAGTCGGGAAGTACAGGCCGAATAGGTTCGGATCTCTTGATGGCTATCAGCTCACTGAGGAGGATCAATCCGGTCGCTGCCAAACTGAGCGCGAGCGCTACCGCTATGGCTGTTGGGGCTGTTGCTGAGACGCAACTTGGATCTCAGGCAACGCAACGCCGGGATCTCACTAGTTTCTTAAGAGATACAAAAAGACAAAAATGCCGAGAACTCATGCTTTTTGGATACAAGAGTCAAGAGCCCCCTTCACCACTTGCAGAGTTGAGGCTCTCCAAAACTGTGGACCTTGCCTCTGGAAAAGCATTGTGGTTATGACATGTTATCAATGGGAATTTCAGGATCCTAAAATGAAGGTACTGTACCATATTTTTGGCATATTTTGTGGAAATTTTCCCTTACATGGCCTAAAAAATAGGCCTTATATATAGTAGGTACCTCCAATTTAGGTTCCTGAAATGGCCATTGATGATATGACCAATCTTGCTTCTTGGGAGCGTGGAAGGAGCCCAGTGCTGAGCTTTGTAGATCTGAACCCGATGGATCAATCCTTTTTTGGGCACCGCCACGAGGAGCATTGCTGGCTCACCTTGCAGCTTATCTACTTGGTGGTTGACCTACCCCTCTGAAAAATATGAAAGTCAGTTGGGAATATTATTTCCAATATATGGAAAAATAAATGTTCCAAACCACCAATCAGATATATAAGGCCTATTTTTTAGGCCTATGTAAGGGAATATACCCCCCTATGGCCAAAACTATGGTAGTTTCACGTACCTCCAACCACCAACCAGTTATTGTTGATGATTGGTATAACCAATCATAACAGCTTGGTAGTTTGATTCGGTGCCCTGCCCTAGGCCCTTTTGGCCAAGCCTTGGCGGTTGAACTTTGGATCATGATCTATGGCTACCATCCAGCTGTTTTTGCAATGGCTGGAAGTTCACAACCAAATCTCAATCCCTGTCACCATAGGTCATGTAATACCAGTAATACCACTAGTTTTATACCACTAGTCACTAGTTGTTTTGCTTATGAAAGAGCATATTTTTCTCAGTATACAACAACTTGTAGATTCTGGTGTTTTTCAACTGGCTACAAGATTTCCCATATATCTCCCAGACTCGGTGCATCAAAGCAACGGAGAGGTTGAAAATAAACCTCAGGGCGATAACGTTCCCTCTATTGTGCCACCCACTTATTTTTTAAAAAATATATATTTCATATTCAATAAACGATGCTATCATTTTTTTTGCAAAAGTGTTTTGTAACTTTTATATTCAGTCAGGTCTCTACTATCCAGGAAAAAAACAACAACAACGTAGTTCTCAGGTGTCATCCAAATAGCCTCACCTCTTGGATTTCAGTTCAGAATTCCCCTCCAAGCCGACCAAGCCTCACGAGATGATAGCGTTGTGTTCGTAAAATCCCAGTGCTAGAGTCCTTTCGTTCTTTACGTTAAATAATGTTAAATAATCCCTATGGATCCAAGTACCTTGCTAGGAAGTGTTTGGGGTATGATTTAGGGGGTGAAGTACCTTCTGAGACAGTGTTTGGATCCATAGGGAATGTTAAATATATAGATAATTCATCAATATACCATGTATACATCAGTAGTATGTGATATGATTGAACTTCACGGCCCCGCTTCCCGGGGTTCCCGGGGTTCCCGGGGGCCATCCCGCGTCGAGGCACTGCTTGGAACGCACTTGCTCCATCTGTTGCCTCAGCCCCAGAAACCATGGATGGGGCCAGGGATGAAACGGCAGATTTTTTAGGAGATTTTTTGGGACAGAAAGGGGAGTGTTTCAAAGGGGAAGGGATGAACATTCTCAAAACCTGGTGAAATCTTCCAAATTTGATTTTAAAAAAATTAAACCTGAGAGCCAGCCCACAAATCCATGAAATTCCCGTCATTTTCAGAGGTCAATCTGAGTCAATCTAAAAGATTCGGCTGGCAGTCATGAGAACTTCCAATTTCATCCAATTTCCTCATCTGGAAGGCTGGCTCCATGGAAATCGCTTCATTCCTTGACAAACATCGCCTTTTAGAGGGGTTGAGCAGTTTCCGGTGCCCTCGACGTGGCTGAAGATCCTCACATTGAAGTTTCAACTAGTGAAAATCATCTATAAATGGGTGATGTTCCATTGCTGTGTTTGATTACCGGAATCTGGAGGATATTTCCACTAGTATGGAAAACCCAATGCCATGAACCATTCCATTAACCAGCCATAATTGGGGTTCATTTTGCATCATCCCAGTCATAGTGGCACACCCATTTTCGCAAACCTCAAACTTGGGATAATTTATGAAATGGTCATCCTATATTTCTCCATTAATCTCCCACTATTTTTTTTAAATATGAGTATTCACGTTATCCTACTATATCTATATATCATATAGTCATATAGTCTATGATAAGTTTCCCATCATGATCCATGGTTATCCCACTATTATACTATATATGATCCATATTATCCTATTAAAAACATACTATATCCCATTAATATTATCCCACTATTATCCCATTATTATCCCACCTGGTCTCTCTCCATTTATATCCTGGTTTGGTGGTTTCAACCCCTCTGAAAAATATTAGTTAGTTTTTTTTGTTGTGGTGATTATTCTAAATATATGGGAAAATAAAAAGTCATGTTCCAAAGCACCAACCAGTATCCCAACCATCAAACAAACCTGTTGTTTTTCAGGGGGTTCTGAAGAAACCCCTCTATTTTTCTCAACCAACCAATGGGAATTTGGGACATCTATGTCTCCATTTACCCTCTGGTAATTTAACGTAGCCATGGGAAATCACCATTTTTAATAGGTAAACCCAGGTAAACCATCTATCAATGGGCCATTTTCCATGGCTATGTTAAATAACCAGAGGGTATATCCCATTCATTGGGTACACACACCCACAATTCCTTCACTGCGGCCGAGCTGCGTGACTTCTTCGGCCAGGCTGGTGGCTGCTTGGGGGCGTCCTGATGCATCCGATTTCATGAGCTGGTTGGGTTTCTGCTTGGTGATTTTACCCATCTGGTAATTTGTTACATAGCTATTGAAAATACCACATTTAGTTCGTTGATTTACCTATTCAAAATGGTGATTTTCCATAGCTATGTTAGTTTACCAGAGGGTAACCCCATCAGTTGTGGCAATGTGCTGTTTATAACCTTACCCATTGAAAATGGTGATGTTCCATAGTTTTTTTTGTATGTTTACCGGAGGGTATCTGGTTGGCGGTGCAATAACCATCTTGAAAAATATGAGTTCGTCAATGGGAAGGATGACATCCCATATATGATGGAACATAAAATTCATGTTTGAAACCACCATCCAGTTTTAATGGTTAATGGGAGGTTGAAATTGACCATTAACCATAACAGCATTGGTTTTAATGAATATGGATGAATAATATTCATAATATGGATGAATCTAATGATGATCAATCCAGATTAAGCATCATATTGTTGCCAGTGGTGTTTTCATGAGCCATTGGTTTTAATGGTGCTTTAATGACATGACTCACGGGAGGTTATGCAAGAAAATCATCACCCAGTAGGAAACCATGGATTGTCCTGGAGCTTTCCTGTAGATGTTCCTGATCATCAGCTATATAAGTTGAATACGTTATCTATAGTTAAACAATAATCTAATTTAACCTGATAAATTATAACAATTCACTGAAGAGTTCGGCTATTTTGGGATACTTGTTCCTCCTTTGCTAACCATCATTCCAATGAGGTCCCAGTGACGATGGTTATGCTTTAACCAAAATGAGCCAGTGAATTTTAAAATTGGAGTTGGACATGTGTTTCCATAACGTTCCTATGGATACGTTTGCCAAGCAACATGGACACATCTCCAATCTTCATTGTCAGCTCAAGCTTACTAAGCTTGACTGGAGAAGCTTCAGAGCTGGCCGGCGTGAAGGCCGACACGGAACATCAATGTTTTTTTCGCCGACTCCATCGTATACAGTGGATGATCCAGTCGATTTTCAATCATAAAAATGCAGCTGTTGCCAGTCGCCAGGACGCGGTGGCCCACATTTTCCACGTAGAGAAAGTCCAAGAAGTGCTTCGTAGGCGTAACAACCACTTCGGTTGACATACTTCATCCGTTGACCCTCTGGTAATTCAACATAGCTATTGAACATGGCCATAGAAATAGTGGATTTACCCATTGAAAATGGTGATGTTCCATAGTTTTTTGTATGTTAACCAGAGGGTACATCCTTTTACCCCAATGGATTCCTTCATGTCATACGAGACTCGCAAGTTGATCACCATGAAGCCAACCAGATCATTGGTAACCAACTTAGCTAACAAACTCTGGCACACCTTGACGAAATCCCAGTGACGCACAGTTTCGATGGACAAACTTTCTTGGTTGAATCCGAGTTGAATCTGAACATCCCTTCTGACAGCACAAAACGAAAATCCCTGGTTAAATTGGTGGTTGACCTACCCCTCTGAAAAATCATGGAGTGAAAGTCAGTTGGGATGATTATTCCACATATCTGCAAAAATAAAAATGTGATACCCTCTGGTAAACTGTCACATAACTATGGAAAATCACCATTTTTCATGGGAAAATCCACTATAAATGGTCATTTTCAATAGCTTTTTGATGCTTTTTGTTAAATTACCAGAGGGTAAATGTTCCAAACCACCTCCAAACCACCAACCAGATCCTTGGTGAATCCACTCCCCCGACCCCCCAACATACGCCCGGCCTAAGGCCTCGCCCAGCGAACTCACACGGCGCCCCGTGGCGCGGTCCGTCACCGTAACCTACGAACCGCGGGTCTGAAAAAGGTTGGGATGGAATCATAGAATTGGATGATGGGAAAATTTACAGGAAAGCCCTATATTTGATGGTAAAAACCATGGTTTCCTGTAGATTTTCCCTTAAACCAATCCATTGATGGAAAGTATATCGAACATCTATGGGAAATCATGATGTTGAATGGGAAATTCTTGGAAAAATATGGTAACTATATCAAATTAAATACTATGGTTAAGCAAATGGGTTGATTCATGAGTAGCAGGAAAAATATGTGGGTTCGTCTGAACATATGGCAATTTCCTGGAGAACATATAATGAAATTTCATGAGAAAGAATTGGAGCATATCTGAGATATAATGGGTTGATTAATGGGTTGATTAATGGGTTGATTAATGGGTTGATTAATGGGATGTACTTGTAAAAATAATTAAAAATACATGGAAACCGAAGGGATAGATATAAGATGTGATTGGATCTTAAAGGGAAAACAACCCAAGTGGATTGGGGTATCCTCTATGTAAATGTTCCCTTAATCGTTTTGGGAAGGAAAACATCGACAAAAACTGGGGGAGGGGTTGTATAGCTGGGTATAGCTGGGTATTCAGTAACAAGCATGGGGATTGCAGGACAACAACTTATGGCACTTTGATGGGGTTTTGGGTTAGGAATAGATATAATAAAGTATCATTGCAGTATCTGGTCAGCGTTCCAAAAACAACAGATAGTCCGTTGGGGATTGTCATTCCAAATGGGAGCAGAAAAATACACATGTTGGAGTCTTTGGGAAAATTGTCCAAACAAAAGTTGAAAACTGTGAGGAAAACAGACGCATCAAATCTTCGGGTTTCATGTGTTCTTTCTTGAAGCACCAACCCAATATGTTTTCCTGGGAACAACAAAAACATATTACCCTCTGGTAAACTGACATAGCTATTGAAAATGGCCATAGAAATAGTGAGTTGTCCCATGAAAAATGGTGATTTTCCCATCAGTTTTTTGTATGTTTACCAGGGGGTAAGATGGGCTTTACCACAGTCAACTTTCTGAATGGAGCCAGCTAGGCTGTTCAAGGTGGGCACGGCACGCTGGGAACCTCTTGCCTCATGCACAAAATGTTCCAAAACAAGTCATCCCATTCTTCCCCTACTGGTTGATGGTAGACCTACCCCAGTGAAAAATATGAGTTCGTCAGCTGGGATGACTATCCCCAATATATGGAAACATAATCCGAATCCAAATGTTCCAAACCACCAACCAGCCCTAATATTAAACACCTCCTTAGAAACCATGGTTTTTCGTTGGGATTTTTCACAGAATTGGGGCATTCCCGAACGCACACATAATTGGGTCCCAAAGGGGGTGTTTTTGAAATGAATGAAGGAAGGGATGAATCATATATTACTGTAATCTTTGTACCACATGAGATCCCATTAGTATATGCATGTTGTATATTCCATTTAATTGTAGGATTATCAACTAATACCGACATGAAAGCACCTCCGACTTCACAAGCGCCACATCTTCGTCCAAGTCGGACTTGGCAGCAAAGACCTGCGAGGGAAGGCATGGGAGTTTCATATCAAATATATATTTGTTATATATATATATATATATCATATAGTATTATATAGTGACACAAGCTAATTACATGGGTCTGTGTATATCATAATATTTCACTAACTTGAATTGTTGGGTCATTTGTGGATGATTTCCCTTATTAACCATGATTCCAGGGCTCGGTCGAACAGTGAGGTCGTGATGAAATTTACCCAGATATCATTGGGTTGGTTTAAGGGAAAATCTACAGGAAACCATGGTTTCTACCATCAAATATAGGGCTTTCCTGTAAATTCTCCCATCATCCAATTCTATGAAGATAGGGTACTTTACTATGGTTTACTGTACATGTTTATGGTCATCTGCCATGGCAATCCCAGCTAAATGGGTCAATCGGTCAATTGGCGCCTGCGATGCCCAGCGTCCGAAGGTGTGCCGTCGACTTTGGCCACCCGAGTTGTCGGGTTCGTTCACAGTCCTTGGAACCAGGTCGGAGGCACTTGGATGTCATGGATTGTGATGCTGGAAAAGTATACGAAAAATGGAGGTAGAATGTGGATTTCACATGATTTAACTATACCATAAACCTTAAATGGTGATTTCACATGATTTCACCAACATGGATTGGCAATCGGATTGGTTTCTGCGGGAAAATATCGATTTTCCTTGAACCGATCCATTGGAGGATCCTGTCACCATGTTTTGATCATCCATGTTCACCAGCAGCTGTCCATCTCCCATGCTTTTGTGCACTATCCTCTGGTAATTTAACAAAAAGCTATTGAAAATTGTGATTTATAGTGGATTTACCCATGAAAAATTGTGATTTTCCATAGTTATGTGACAGTTTACCAGAGGGTAACATTTCCCGTAGCCCACCCCATTTTTGTGGCTTCCAAATATCCCGAAAGCGGCGTTGCACACTGTCCCTCAGTCCCTCAGTCATCTTAAAATGGTGACACCGCTGCTGCCGAGCTTCATGACGTTCATCATGCCCGTAGGAGTCAGCAACCTTGGGGATGTACCCCAAAGAAATCCCGGGCGAAAGAAACTGAGACCTCTGGCGTTTTTTTTTACCATGAAAAACACCGAAACTTGCGTTTTTCTGGCTGAGATCTCCATAGATTTGTCCGCATGAAACATCCAATGATGGGATGGGGGGTGACATCGGTGGCATGACTCTTGAAGTGGTAAGTTGGGCTCCTTGGTCTTAACGACTTCGATTTGCTGAAGGAATCTCCGCCAAACATTCCCGGGAAAAAACACACCATCACCTCAAGGGCTAACGATGATAAGCCCGAGCGACAGGATCTGCAAAGCCTGCGGGGCCAAGGATAAACGCATCTCTTCCTGGCAGCCAAGGACAATTTCCCCTAGAATCCTTAGGAGAAACACAGTGCTTTCAAGCAAGAAAAATGATGGTTTTATCGGATTAGGATCTAAAATGATGTCCATGGGATTTGAGGTGGAAATATATGGTGTTTACCATGCTGTAACGGTACATAATGACACATACATCGGGGACATAATAACTAACTCTTGGGGATGGTTCATTATTGGATTTACCCAGCGGACACAACTACGAACCATACTGATCCAACATCATCAAAAATAAACCATCATTTTGGGGCCGTATCATCCCTATACTTCTCCCCTTCGGAAATTCCCCCAGCCATCGCCAACCCTGCCATCGCCTCGGCTTCAATGTGCACGCTGACCATGTTCTTTTCCTCCAGGCCCCTGAAGTACATGGTTTTCATGCGGAAATGGGCGATGGCCAACTGAAAAAAATGTGGAGGTAGAGGGAGGTACCCCATTTGATACTGATTGGTGGTTGACCTACCCCTCTGAAAAATCATGGGGTTCGTCAGTTGGGATGATTATTCCATTTCCAAGATGATGGGAAAGTCATAAAAGTCCATGGTTCCAGTCACCACCAACCAGATAATTTGTCATTAATCACCATGATTACTCACCATTAATCACCATGAAACCATATTAAACCATATTAAACCAAACCACCAACCAGTACCCCATTTGGTAGTACACACACACACCACACTAGACTCGACTTCCAACTCCTGAGGTCATGTGGATTTTCATGGGAAAAAATGGGAGTAATATCCAAGTCACCACCGGGAAAGCTGGTGAACCCCCCTGGAAAATGCGCCGGCTTTTCCAAGCGATACCGGGAGTCATCCCATGTGGGGCCGTTTTCTTAGAACGCTAAGTAGGTGAACATCACTTCAATAACGATGGTTTTTGAATGTTTTTGATAGCTAGAACTATAGTTAATGGCTGGTTGGTGGTTGCTGCTAACCCCTCTGAAAAATCATGGAGTTCGTCAATTAGGATCATTATTCCCAATCTATGGAAAAATAAAACATGTTCCAAACCACCAACCAGATGGGGTTTATAAACCCACTATATAACTGGGGGGCCCCACATTGTACAATTCCATACGCCTCCGTCTCTTTGGATGAAAAACACAGTGATCCATCTGTTGAGCATGACGAAGCTCCAGACGTCCGTCGTGTCCACGGAGTTTGGTCCCACAAGAATCCTGCAGTTATGGCCCAAAATACCAGTTGTAAGTACTAACAAAACCCCATTTATAGAACGTGTCTCATCCCATTTGTAATCCCACTTATACCCTCCGGTAAACTAACATAACTATGGAAAATCACCATGTTCAATGGGTAAATCCACTATAAATGGCCATGTTAGTTTGCCAGAGGGTAAGTAATAAATGGATATAAATGGCCATAACTGTGGGATTTCATCCGTTTCATCGTGAATTTTTTGGTGCCTGTATTCGATGATGACATTCACCGGCACGGGCTGAATCATGTCGAACTGCTCCTGCGCATCATCCCCGGTGACACACCGCACTCGGTTGGGCGACGTTTGGGTACCCAGGTGCTAGCCAGAAAGCTTCCATGCTTCCATGAAACATGCCAATGTTACCAGTTGACATTAATGTGATCACCACAATGATTGGTGACTGGTGGCGTTGGTCCTTGGGATTCGGGACTCTTTCTTGGCGATGTTAGGCACCATGCCATGAGATGCACGGTAGCATACAAATTACATGGGGTTTACCCTGAAAAGAGTGCATCTTTATCAGAATGTAACACCATACCACGTCAATCCATTTTAATTGGACACATTTACCCTCTGGTAAACTAACAGTTTGCTATTGACAATTGCCATTTATAGTGGATTTTCCCATTGAAAATGGTGATTTTCCATAGTTTTTTTGTATGTTTACCAGGGGGTAATTGCCTTTCCATATCTTTTCAGGCGACCTCCCGCAAGTCCCGTATTGTCAAAGCACGGAGATTTTTCCAAGTCTTGTTGGTCTGAACAAAACCTCGTCCGTCATCCCTAGGTTTGATAACAGTGGGTGCCCAGCTGATGATAGATGATAGGATTTACCCTCTGGTAAACTAACATAACTATGGAAAATCACCATTTTTGATGGGAAAATCCATTAAAAATGGCCATTTCAAATAGCTATGTTAGTTTACTAGAGGGTATCCCTTTACGTATCTGGTAAGTCTTTGGTTTCCCTTTCTTTTTTCACTACCAATCAGCCATCATCAGAATATGTAAATATATCCCTATGAATTCCCCGAAGTGTCTTTGACAGTTGAACGAAACACACTCAAAAAAACAAACACAAACAGTACACTAGTATCACTACATGGGTCATTAAATGTCCCCATTGAACATCACCCAACCATTAGGTATATGGTCAATGCCATGGCTACTATAAGGTGATGTCCAATATTCCCAAAATGGGACAGTTACCAACCCCTGCACTAGTTCACTAACTTGAAAATAACTGAAATAAAGCCATTTGGGGATGATTCCCCATCTAGAAACCATTATTCCAATGATGTCTCAATGAGGAAATAAGGCTTTTCCAGCCATCAAGCAACACCGAAAGACCAAAGCCGCCTGTCGATGAGAAGTGGCCCGCAGGGTAGTGTGGGTGAGGCGCAAATCCAAATCCATGCCTCGACGGATTCGCAGAAGACACGGTAAAATCCATGCGTCAGTCTGATCGACTGGAAAAGCTTGGGTTATTTGATGATAGATATGATACATGTTTTTAAATAGATAAGTTTTACCCTCTGGTAAACTAACATAACTATGGAAATAACTATCTTTAATGGGAAAACAACTCACTATAAATGGCCATTTTCAATAGCTATGTTAGTTTACCAGAGGGTACGATCCTACAGCCTGGTCTTCACAAGTAGCTTCGCTTCTGAAATGCAGGTGGAGTCCATGGAGTGGCAACGGATTAGATAATCCGTACTCCCCCCTAGAGGTCAACAAGGTCGACAAGGTCAAGGGATGAATTCATAATCTTCACATCATTCCTGGTTGGTGGTTAAAAAACCATCTTGAAAAATATGAGTTCATCAATGGGAAACATTATCCCATATATGATGGAAAATAACAAATGTTCCAAACCACCAGCCAGAATAGATGAAAAAAGGAAAAGGACAAATTAGGAAAAGAGAAAGGACAAGGGCAAAACCCAACAACAAACACATAGGGCTGAGAGCTGGGTTTTATGAATTGGGGGGACGCTCACTTTTAATAGGGAGGGTGAGACCACTCATGGGGGCTACGCTTTGTGAGCTTCCAGAACTATATTTTGCTATGCAAAAAGTGAGGAGAATTTGATCATTTCGGGGATGATAGTTTTTTGTTTAATATTTTTCTGGGGTGGTAAAATTAATCATTAATCAGGAGAGATCAAGAAATAAGACATTAGATTTCCAAATTGAAAATAAAAGGGAACAATGCTAAATTTGTACCACCAAAAATCTCGGGGTTCCGGAGGGGTATGTTTAATTGGAGAGAGATAAACCTACTGTAGTTGACTTTAGTATTGTCCTAAAATCGGGGAAGAGCCAGCGTATAGTCAATTGGGGAGGCATTGTTAATCCTAACTTGACATTTTTCATCTTCTCATAGACATAATTCAAGGCGGCGAATTATAGTCTGTTTCCAGGGAAACACCTCTGCATACGAACAGCAAACAGCGGGCCAGCACATCCACGGTATATACACGCATGGCCGTCAATGGAACCAGGCTTAAACAAACAATACCAGCGTTTACCTAAAGGGCGAGCGATTGGTTTTCCATGGGTTTTCCCATGGTTTTCCCAACCCGCTCCGCGGTCACTGGCCCAGTCGCATTTGTACTCGCAAGGGCAGTTGGTCTTCAAGTGCCTTGGAATGATAACTTGAGGGGGCTCCAAGGGCTTTATAACAAGGGTTTTTCCCTCTGGTAGACTGTTACATAACTATGGGAAATCACGAATTTTAATGGGAAAACTGACTATTTCTATGGCCATTTCCAATAGCTTTGTTAAATTACCAGAGGGTATATAATTGGTTTTATGGTCTTACTGCATATTACTGCAGTAGCATTTAGAGATCATTCCAATCTGGATACATGTGGGTTGAAACAACTTGAAGAGTAGGAGTGAATTGGGCATGATGATCCTTTGAATGAAAGGAGTTATCACTACAAGCATAAGAGCAAACCATATTTAGTGCAACATGTCTGACATATAGGTTACATACCCTCTGGTTATTTAACATAGCCATGGAAAGATCCACCATTTTTAAGTTCGGTAAACCATCTATTTCGAACCGGGCCATCAACAAACCATGGCAAACTGTGAACGTCATAACCAGAGGGAACTAATCCCAGGGGGATTGGATCCATGGTATCAACTAAAGTAACCTCAACACAACACCCCACTACGTAGAACTTCCGAAACACCTCACGACTCCCAAACTCCCAAATCAAACAGGCCCTGCGACATAATGTGGCCCCGAGCTATGATTATGAAATTTACAACTCAAGCTAGATATGTCTGCCATGAAGCCAACACTTCACCTCTGTATTTCAAGCAACTTAGCGAACTATGGTGGTTTAAGTACAATCCAATTACACATAATTAAACCACATCACAATTTGTGCTGGTTACAGTGATCCCATCATTTTCGCATCATTTTCCCATCATTTTCCCATGGCAAGTGGCAATTCGCCCAAGCTGAAGATGGCGGTGCCCAGGGTCACAGGCACGTGGAGAATAGGTGAGGCAATCATGATCCTGGACTGGACTGACCCGTCATCTAATGCTAGTGAAGTAAAGCCCCCCCCAGTTTTAAACTGGTTATACATGATGGTTTTCATGGTACCTACCATAGATTGCCATATTTTTAAGGCCTATATATATCAGGCCTCAGAGTCTCTATGACTTCACCATCACTGGTTCCTACAAGGTGGTTCCCCAGTGAGAAATTGGGAAAAGCCCATGAAAACTACCCTCTGGTAAATTAACATAGACCCTGGCAGTCATCGGGGTTGGAAGACTAGTTTCCATTAAAGATTGGTGATTTTCAGGGTCAAACTGTTAATTTACCAGGGTGTAGTTCGATATATCATGATATATCACCAACAAAAACCATAGATATTGGAGTTAGGTTCACCAACTTAGCGTTCTCGAACGGGGGCACCACCTTGTAATGAAGTAAACATTGATGACCATTACCAACAATTGTTTGAAAATGGTAATGACCATTGATTACCAGTAATGGTACAGTAATTGATTACGGTAACATGACAAGTAACAGTAACGTTACCAGTCATTGTTTACATTATTATGATCATTGATTAGCTGATTACCATTGATTACCAGTAAATGTAGCAATGGTACTCAGCTAATCAATGACCATAAAAACAAATAATCATCATTCATGATGATAAAGCATGGTAATTACCAACCATAATAACCATTGGTGAGATGACCATAATCCAGCTATAATACTGATGGGTAATTGCGTGTCATGGGTAATTATTGGTAATGTAATCAATGGTAACTCCATGTCCTAATCAATCGTTAAACATCCCGCCGGGTTGGAAATCATGCTTTTCGCAGTGTGATGTGGACTGGCAAAATGTATCAGCTTGTTAGCCGATGTCAATCCAGGGTAGCACTTTGCGCCATCTGAGCAAACCACTGTTCTTTACTGTCCAGAATGCATTCGCGAAATGCAATCAAATCCCTTCACATCATGGGAGTGGCAAGTGCGCAAGTACGTGAACGTTATTGCCCCACCCCACCCCTGCGTGACGTGACACATCTTCAACGTAGCATGACGTATGTGCGCACGTGCAAGTGAACCTGCCGTGGCGTAACATCATGGGAGTGCGCAAGTACGTGAACGTTATTACCCCACCCCACCCCACCCCAAGGAACATATATAAAAATGCCTAAAACGCTCGGACGGTTTTCAACCCGTAGGCTTAAACATCATTAGTGGTCATTGATGGTCATTATACTTAGATCAGTAATCATTAATGTGGGTAAAACAATATATATATATATAATAAACCACCCATCCATTGCAAAACGTGGTGCGTGTCCGTGGTAACAACGATGGAAGGGCTTTCATCTCGATCATATATTTGTTGGAGACATTGGCAAATGTTGACCCAGACTCTGATGCAAGCTTCACGGCGACGGTGGATAGCACCCGGAGGCTTTGCCAACTGATTAGGCATGCTGCGTCCAACCTGAGGTAGGCACAAAAAGGAAACAAGGAAGCCGAGGCTGTTGGCAAAGTTCCGGGCCCCTTGGCAATCGAGCTAATGTAAGTCTTGGCATCCAGAGCGTTGACAGCTCTTGCCAAACGCTCGACCTCCACTTCCACCTCAACCGACGAATGTTTTTCTGCAGTGCTAGGCCAGGACCCACAATGAACCTCACAACCAGCAGAATTGGCGTCATGCCGCTGAAGGATAGGTAGCTCACAAGCGCTGCAAACCCCTGGCTGCTGCCAAGATGCAAGACCGTACTGCACATTTACTTATACCACCTATAAAAATGCTGATGACTGGGGGATGGTTTATCACATTGTTTTACCCACATGAATGAAGTAAACAGGGATTGGTACAGTTGGTACATGTACCCATTTGTCACGTCATCCAGCTAGCTGCTATAAAAATTGGAAAATCATCTCCAAGCCTCGAGTTTGGACGCAAAAAAATGTCAACTTTCAAAACTATACAGGTACTGAACTTCAAACATATCAATCCAACATGTGCAAATCTATGCCTAAAAAAATCGGCCAAGCATCTCCAATTCGAGCCTTGCGGGCCACGATGGGAACCCAAGAAATGGCAACAAGCGATACACCGGTACCAGAAAGCCACAAACTTATACACCAACTTTGGTAACCGAGGTTGGTAGTTTAAAGAATATTTCCCTCTGATTATGAAAGAAAAATCATTGTATCGGGAGTATAACCATCATCATTGTCGGAATTGTTGTGATTACTGCTGTCATGGTTACCATTCTGGTTCTCAGTATCAATGTATCACAATGAATTAATCATTTAACATCAAGAGTCATCAAGTACCAAGCCAACAGTAATTGGTCTTCCAAGCAAGTGGGTTAACTATAACCTAAATTCTACCTGGACTAAGCCTTATCCAGACTTGTCCCACTTAAATCTGGGGTTCTAACTTATGTATATAGATAGTTCGATAGATCGATAGATAGATAGATAGGTAGATAGATAGATAGATAGGTAGGTAGATAGATAAATAGCTATACATATCATTACATATCTATATAATATATCATCCACTTCCGATGGGCTAAACTCGGCTAAACCATGTTCTTCACCAGCTGCAACCACAGCTCGCTGGTTTCGTGCAAGGAACTTGTCTGGGATGCGGTTGTAGGCGGCGCGGGCCACCTGCTTCACCTCCTCCGCATTCTTCTCCAACCACTCCTGCGGTGATCTCACGTGTCCACCGGGGTGAACCGTACATGAAGAAAACGTGATGTGATCACATAGAAGTTTTATTAATGCTGCCTACAACTGCAACCTCTGTAATCGGATATTGTACCTATCTCTCTCTCTCTCTATATATATATAGTGTATATGTATATAATATGGGTGTAGTGGCATTCCCAGAAACAGGTATTTGGTGTTTGCAACTTAAGACGTGTGGGTTTGCTACAGTTTCCATGCCCATCGATTTGAAAATGCTCTGCTACTCGGCTCCGAGGTTTCACTGGTAGAATGACCATTTCAATCCCGCATTTTTCACTGAAGTAGCCACAAGTAGCCCAAGCATGCGCCAAAAACCACTCACTCAATCACTTCTCCCCCCTTTTCCCAGGAGATGGAAAAGGAAAGTCCAACTATGTTCAACCTCAGACCTCATCGACTCCTGCCATACAGAATCATCATCATCATCATCATCATTATCATCAACAACAACAACAACCACAACCACAACGACAACCACAACCACGACAACGACAACAACAACAAGAACAAGAACAAGAACAATAACAACAAGGCAAATGTTGGGATGTTGGGGATGTGAAAATTCGGAGATTTGCCCCCAACAATTTGCACAAATAGAACCTAGAGAAAATATCTGGAAAATCCAAGTGGCTCATGGTTGTTAAATCTTCACTAAGCCCTTTTTTTGAGGGGAGTCATTTTTTTTTGGGCTGGTTGACACTGGTGGAATCTCCATGCTGTCGCGCTGTCCTCCATGTCTTCCATGTGTTCATCCATCTCTTCTTCCACAGTCTCCAGCAGTGGCAACTCTTTCCTCACGGTCATCCCAGGTGGGATATGGTGGATTTACCATGAAACATTGGTATTTTAACGGGGGGAAGACCAACAAAAACAGAAACTCGGGCAATCAAACGTGTCGTGCTGGAAAATCCAGCATCTATAGATGTTTTTTTCCTCCCATTAAACAAATATATATATATACGTATATAAACCTCCCATTTATAGGGGATGTTCCAATAAAACAAAATATAATCGAAAAAAATGGGAAACCCCAATTGCCCCAATTGAACTTACAGTATCTGAACATGAGGTATACCCCAATATAAGGCCACATATTCATAGGGAACCTGATCATTATACCAAGGGATTTGGGGTACCATGTTCTCAAACAAACCGTTATAATCATGGCTAAGTTTTCAGACCTTGCATGATTTTGCTATGCTGCGGGCCACATCCTGTCACATCTTAATCATCTTGCCACCCTGCGTTGAAGATATTGGGAAGTCATCTGGAAATCAGAAGGTGGTTGGTACTTGAAGTATCATCCCACTTAATAAGTGGTTCATAACCTATAGCCCTGATCCGGACCTTAGATTTTGAGCTGCGGCCATATAGTCAATATATCTACCAAATCAACCCAAACCACTCGAAATCATTTAACCTAACCTATTTTGAACCAACTTCACTATCATAAATCAACATAAATCAACTACATCAACTATTAGATTCCCATCTTCCTCAAAATCCAAGCTGGTTGGTGGTTTCAATCCCTCTGAAAAATATTAGTCAGCTGGGATGATTATTCCCAACATATGGAAAAATAAAACATGTTCCAAACCACCAACCAGCAACATATTCCCATGTTTCTGCCTTAACATTCTAGTAAACTAACATAGCTATGGAAGACATGGACCATTTTTGTTGCTCAAAATCCAACTATCTGGGCAAATTATAATAATTCACTAACCTGAATCTTGCGGCCATTTGGTGGTGATTTCCCTTATTAACCATGATTTCCAGGGCTCGGTCGCAGTGAGGTCGTTATAATTTACCCAATCTAATATCGTTTACTTATCATAAATCAACTACATCAACTATTTGATTCCCATTTTCCTCAAAATCCAACTAAAGTTGCACAAAAATTCCCCAGTGTTTCCCCCCTCCGTTGGGCCCAGCATCTCTTGGCGTTCAGGCTCGCGCCAGAAGTCCAGGATCATCTCCACGATTCCTTCCAGCAAATTGATCCTTGGAAGGGCGATCGGAAACTGTAAGAAATGGTGATTTGGCGAAGGAAACTATGGTGAATTCACTAAAATTCACTAGGAAAATATGGTGAATTCACTTAATTCACAATTTCATTCACTGAGGAAAATGGAAGGATTTATATTACAACTGTCTGTCTAGGGGAAATATGGAAACGGGGATTTACCATGAAACATGAGGATTGAAGTGGGGAAGATGAGCGTTGGAGATGTATAGTATCTGAAACTGCTGTACACTGCATACCCAAAAAATGGATGTTACACAATATTTTACATGATTCTACCATGGAAAATATGGACATGAACATGAAACATGATTTGCTATATTTGCTAATAGGTTTAATTTTAGGGGTTGCATATTTGGAGCCAAACCCACATGACCTTAACCAATGGAAACATCATGTCCCTTCAGAACTGGATCTTCCCAGTGGGGTGCACATTTTGTCTGATCATTTCAGACCCATTGGAATCTCATGTATCAGCCCCAGTACTGAAGAGGAACTTTAGGCACAACATATGCACAAAATGTATGTGAAGCATCACTGGTTGGTGGTTGACCTACCCCTCTGAAAAATATTAGTCAGTTGGGATCATTATTCCCAATATATGGAAAAATCAAATTCATGTTCCAAACCACCAACCAGATCAGTTTCACGTTATATTCCGCCCATGTATGGCTGACTATATGATAAGTGGGAACAATCCTTCTATTTTACCCACCGAAATGGGACCATGAACATACCCTCTGGTAATGACTAACAGTTTGCTATGGAAAAACGGCATTTATTATATATAGGTAAATCAACTATTTCTATGGCCATTTTCCAGTTCGCAAACTGTTAGTCATTACCAGAGAGGAAATCACCAGACAGTTTCATTAAATCTCATTAAAACACCATGAAATCCCATTGAATCACCATTAAGACACCATTTTTTTCCACCAGTGGCGTCACCACCTCAACGACCGGGCCAAGCGGGCCACCACGGGGTCAGCCGAGAAACTCCACGGGCATAAACTTGAAGGAAATCGACAGAAGATTCCTAAGGATCAGGTGCCCCATCCCCATCTGGTTACCGAAGTTACATGGGAGATCTTCAGGAACCCAAACGGAGGTATTGTACCATATAAGGGCCTGAATTTTAGGCCTGAATTTATGGAATCGCTACCTCCAATTGTTCTCGGTTAGTCATGGCCATCCAGAAGTTGATAAGTAGACTGGGGCTGGTATACCCAGGGTGTAAACCCAACTGGCATCACCTTGTACCAAGATGAGTAAACGGAAGTCATTTAAACATATAATAAATCATAAAAACACATCATCAAATGGGCATGGCAAACTCATCCTACTTTCTGTTGACTGTTGGTCTTATTTTTGGTGGGATGCGTGAAGATGTGTAGTCACTCTTCACTCTTATAAGTTCTCTATCCCTGAGAAATGCTGGATCTTGAGATTCTTTGGTAATGTTACCCGTTTCCGTATGTTCAAAAGGCAAATCATCTATAAATATGTGGGATATGGATATCGTATTGCCTATGATATATTAAACAAATGCTGAGCAAAAAAAAGTGCCATAGTGAATCTTTGGGATTCTTTGGGCATTCGAACTGACTATCATGAGCTACCCCAAGACGATTCGCCCAGGGGAAAGATCGGTTTCAAGGCCCAATGTTCGTCATCGCAAATATGGTTGAACAATGTTGAACAGAACAGAATATACCAGCCAAATCCAGCCAATATGTGAAAGCATCAAAGATAATGATGATAATGTCAACCCTGGATGAATAACCCCCGTTTACGGCTGTAAAAAATTGGGAGGCTACCAAAAAGTCAGAAAAACATCAGTCATCCCAGTGATCCAAAAAAAAAATCCAACTTAGCTACCCGACATGGTAAACATACATGAGGGGCGACATGGAACATGGCCATAGAAACAATGGATTTACCGATTTATCTATGAACAATTATGATTCTCCACAGTTTTTTTTGTCTGTTTTACCAGAGGGTATCGACATCAAGGCGCTGTTCTTTCTGCAACTTGCTCTGAATGTCAAAGCAGGCAGCACCTTGGCCGCGGTCCATGCTCGCTAGCGGTTACCGGTTTCGCGGGCTTCTTTGGTCAAATCCATGAATTTGTGTCGCTGTTTGCTTCAGTCACAAGTTTTGATAGTTTTATGATAGTTGATATGGTATTATTGAAAACGGTTTACTATGTTTACTATTAGTTACTATGTCTTATGTTTAAACATAGTTGATATACTAAGTACTATGTGTTTATTCAGGTGTTTGTTATTAAAATAGTACTATTCACAAACACCTATTAGTATGTTTATATTAGTTACTATGTACTATAATAAATAACTATGTTTAAACATACTAATAGTTGTGTGGCATTTTCTGGGCCAAGCCTCCAAACTGGAGCCACGCGTTACCACGAAACCAAGGCGCTGGTGCCCTCGCCCAACCACTGCGCAGCTCGGTTGCCCTCCTGATGCGCAACTGTGGGATTCCCACTGTGGGTTTTCATGGATCTGGTTGATGGTTTCTATAGAAAATTACTATCTAATCTATTAGATCTAGAAAAAATATAGTAAATACTAACTTTAAAATATAACTAACAAGATCTAACTATAATTTTACCAACCATCATTGGTGAGATGACCATCATCCAGCTATAATACATGGGCAATTAATGGGTAATTACATGTCATAGGGTAATTAATGGTAATCTAATCAACGGTAGCTCCATGTCCTAATCAATCGTTAAACATCATTAATGGTCATTGATCGTCAATATATATATATATATATGTACATATTTAGATCAGTAATCATCATAATCTGGGTAAGTTACCCTCTGGTAAACTAACATAACTATGGAAAATCACCATGTTTAATGGGAAAACTCACTATAAATGGGAATTGTTAATGGCTATAGGCTATGTTAAACAAGTAATGTGGGTAAGTTATATGTCCATTCCCAAGATCTTGCCAATAATGTGGGTATAACAATGCCATAAAGCACCCATGACTTGGGAATGGTTTATCTTTACCACCTATAAAAGTGGTGAAATTGGGATGGTTTAGGACATCTGTTTACCCACATTACACTATATCCATCAAAATCCTACGATAAAACCGTTGGTAACTAGCCGTTGGTACCTAGACTGTATCCTGTGACATGTTCCACTTTTTTTCGGGGGAATGGAGGCCAGTTAATGACTCCATCTAAAGTGAGGGATCATCCGAGCATCACCTAGTGAAATGTTTTTTTGATTTGCAAAGCCAGCTGACTGCAGATATTTGATACCCTCTGGTGAACTAACATAGCTATTGAAAATGGCCATTTATAGTTGATTTTCCCATTAAAAAAAGTGATTTTCCATAGCTATGTTAGTTTACCAGAGGGTATCTATCATATAAACCCACCGTAACCTCCTAACATTTCACCCAACTTCAGTAACTGGGGCATCACATGGCACCAACCGTAGAATGGGTCCCTGGGTGCCAACCCGCTGACCTCATTGGGCTTTAGCTGCATAAAAGCGCGCGTGTGGTGCAGGGCGTGGAAGGTTTTCCTTGGACATGGGCCCATGGTCAAGTTATATGGCTTACTTTACTACGGGCTATGGTCATTTAATGGGAATCCAATGGCAATGGTGGGTGGTTTCAACCCCTCTGAAACATATGAAAGTCAATGGGAAGGATGACATCCCATATATGAAATGGAAAATAAAATTCATGTTTGAAACCACCAACCAGATTTAAATATATTTACCATTATTTACCTAGTATTGCTATTATGACTACTATTAAATGGATTGATGACCATCCCTCAGCCGGTATCACACTTTGAACTTTGGCACATCACCTGTTGGGAATCTTACCCCGGGACGGAGGGCGTGCTCCATTTCTATCCCAACCGGCCTGGCCTGCTACATACGTTCCAGCACTGGTGGAAAAAAATGGTGTTTTAATGGTGATTCAATGGAATTTCATGGTGTTTTAATGGGATTTAATGAAACTGTCTGGTGATTTCCTCTCTGGTAATGACTAGCAGTTTGCCAACACCCATGAAACATTATGATTTTCCATAGTTATGTTAGTTTACCGGAGGGTATTTGGAAAACAACAAAACCTCAGATATAGCTAAAACAATATCACCTCACTCTATCATGACATGTTGATACAATTCATGGGTATTCCCCCTACCCTCCCTGCTATTGTCAAGGGATTCACAAATCACCATTTTACAAATAGGGGAGCCATAGATTTCAGCCGTAATTTGTCACCCTTTTGGGGGGTCAACCCCCAATCAAGAGTTAGGGCTCATTAATCCGGGGCTGGCTGACATCAGTTGTTCATGTGGCCAATCCAATAAGAAATCGCCATTATTTGCTGGTTCATACACACCAATTTCCGGAAATTGTCAATGGTTTATCCATTTATTTTCGTTGGTTGTACCATCATTATCACTTTGAAGCACAAACCAACCAGAGAATTTCAGATAATGATATTGTATTGAAATAAACATGGACCACCTCATGTGTAACAATGTGTTTTATGCTGACGTGTATATATATGCATATACGGATCTCTCTCTCTCTCTCTATCTATATATATATATAATGAAATATTCATATATGTATATGTATATATGTAATGATATGCATATAAATATATATATTGAATCATTTGGTGCACATGACAAATCACAATCCATCAGGACTTATCATTAGGTGAGGCCTTGTGGGTAGCCGAGTTGACTTACAAATTGGTCAACTACGGTTGAGTAGGCAATATCACTATAGTTCATGGGGTTGTAAACCAACTATAACCTTACCAACTTATAACTGGGGTCTAGGAGGGGGATACATGATAAAACTGTAGTATTATAATGTATTATAGTTACGTATAGCTACTGGGTTTATAAACCAACTATAACCAACTAACACTGTTCATCCTGACCTTGTTGCTTTTCATAAATCAACTTTGAACAAAATCACTGGCTGGTTGGTGGTTTTAACAAGTTTTAACCATCTTGAAAAATATTACAGTAGTCAATGGGAAGGATGACATCCCATATATGAAATGGAAAATAAAATTCATGTTTGAACATATATTTACCTAGTATTGCTATTATGGCTACTATTAATGGATTGATCACCAGCCATGTTTGAAACCGCCAAAAAAAGCTGGGATCACAGCACCAACCGCAGCTCGGAACTCGAACAAAAACCAAGCGGCAGATCGATCTTCACACCCCACTCCGCACTGTCTTGGCCCAAAAAGTCCGTGGCCATGCGGACGTTGATGTCGATGCCCGCCTGTCCTGATTTCAGGGCGTAGCACGGCGTAGCACGGGTTCGGCCGAACGAGATCTCCGGTGGTGGTGATTTTGCATGGGATCTTTGTTCAAAAACTGTTTCTTAATAGGGTTTGATGGTTTGATGTGGTGAAATTTGAGACTTGATCAAGGTGGTGCCCCAGGTTTGTGGCCTAAGTTGGTTGAAAGAACCTGAGAAATCAGTAGCTTAAGCAGGCTTTATGGATTTTGATGGTAGTTTTTGGCAGGCGGTTGATACGGCGCCCTGTGAGGGTGTGTTGAATTTTGATATCCCCATATTTTTCGTATGTGCAATGTTTTAGGCGTCGTATCAACCGGCTGCACGGGGGTGGGGTGGGGTGGGGTGGGGTGGGGTGGGGTGGGGCATGCTAACGTCATGAACGCTTGCGTAACATGTAACACGCCACGCTACGCTACGTCCATGTGCACTTGCGTTGCACATGTACTGCTACGCTGACCACGTTGCTAACACGTCTTGCACTGCCTCACATATATGATGCTACGCTGCTGTAATATCGTCTGCACTTCCTCACATATATGATGCTACGCTGCTGTAATATACGCTGCTGTAATATCGTCCTGCACTTCCTCACATATATGATGCTACGCTGCTGTAATATTGTCTTGCACTGCCTCACATATATGATGCTACGCTGCTGTAATATCGTCCTGCACTTCCTCACATATATGATGCTACGCTGCTATAATATCGTCCTGCACTGCCTCACATATATGATGCTACGCTGCTGTAATATCGTCCTGCACTTCCTCACATATTTGATGCTACGCTGCTATAATATCGTCCTGCACTGCCTCACATATATGATGCTATGCGACCTCAGAGCCTTCAACAGAAATTGCAGTCAGGAGTGAATCCAATGAGGTTCAAATGGGCGTACTCCTATATGTGGAGACACAACGCCAAGTGTGAAAACATGCTGAATTTAAAGACTTTGAGCGACACCTTGTGGCGTTGAGTGAAAAAGATGCTGTCCGCAAGTTGTTCACATTATACAGACTCCAAAAAAAACAGAATTTTTTCCATTTTTTTTGGGACATCCGGATGTCAAAAATGAGCGTTTCGTTGAGGCGAAACGCACATTTTCAAATCACACCAGATGAAAACCTCAAAAATCAAATGTTTTTTTTCTCGCCCCTGATGACTAAAATTAGTATTTCGTTGAGGCGAAACACCAATTTCCACTTTGGAGTCATGCGCCTGCCATCGAAAAATGATCATGACTTTGAAATGTCCTTTTACAAAGTCCCACAAATACAACGTTTCCAGCTTTTGACGTGAAAATCTTAAAATTAAAATCGGCAACCCCTCACAGGGCGCCGTATCAACCGCCTACCTAGTTTTTTTCCTGGAGTTAACTGGAGTTAACTGGGTTTGCAAACCAACTGAAATACCTGGAGGGCCCCACCTTGCGATGTTTTTTTGTACTATGGTGGCCGCGCCCAGTCTCAGGAGAATGGCACATCTTCACCGCTCCAAATATGTCATGTTCTGTCTTTATGGGTTTCAAGAGGGGTACAAGGTGGTGCCCCATAGTTAGCTAATTAAGTTGGTTCATAAGTCCAATAACTAGGGGTTTATGGGGATTAAAAACCGACTTATATATATATATATATTTATATATATAATATAACTGGGGGGCACCACCTTGTAGTCACGGGTAGACATTGACCTCCGTAGTCATCCCCAAAGCTGCGTGATCTGAACACCCAAGGCTCTCAACGCGAGGCTCATCAACTGTCTGTGCACCTGCATCCACTGCACGTTCACCGCGCCCTAAAAATAGGTGTGATACAAAGCTCCATGCTTCCGGTCCCAGTTCGCTTTCACTGTTGATAAACATACTCTTCAACTCGAATTGGTATGGTTATCAACAGTGGGACTTTTAATGAAAAGTCATCAATATGTATATCAGTGGAGTCAACATGTTGATAAAAGTCATCAATATGTATATTTTTTACTAACATGATTTATGTATATCATCTTTTATCAACATGTTCTATGACTTTCATGCCTTCTAACCATGTTTTCTCCAAAGGTCCTGGCACTAAAACTAACTCTGTCGAACCGGGACCGACGCCTCGTCGTGGTAGCGGTCATCCACCAAGTCCAAGGCCATCTGACCTGGAGGAATCAAAATGTTAGTGAAGCTGGATGTTGAAAATTGGATGTTGGAACTGTTGGTGAAACATGCTGTAAATAGAATTAAACAATGTTAAACATGGATCTATAAATGCCCCAAATATGAACAGTGGAAACATGGCATGAACTGTTGGTGAAACATAAGTGGATCTATAAGTTAAACAATTATATCGTAAGTGGATCTATGAAGTTCCATAAATAGGATTAAATAACTGTTGATGTTAAACATTGATCTTTTTTAGTGCCCCAAATATTCCCACATAGCAGTGGATTCATGTAAGTAGTATATTCATGTAGAATCATTGGGATTTCTTTCATGATTTTACAGTACGCATCTTAGACGAATCTTGAGTGGTTTGTGGGTGGGTTCAAGAAAAAAGAAAGGGGAACTGTATGAAACCAGTGAGTTTATGGCGAAAACATCGGGAAATTCCATGGGATATTCCTTGGCGGTGTGTTTATCCCGCTCGGAAAGTTGAGCCTTTCTTGGGATCAGTGGTTACCACACATCTGACTCCAAAAGAACTAAATATCCTCTGCTAATTTGTTACATAGCTATTGAACATTGCCATTTGTAGTGAGTTTTCCCATTAAAAATGGTGGATCTTTCCATAGGTTTTTGTATGTTTACCAGAGGGCATCAATACAAATGAAGTGCATGGCTCCAATGGATCTCCATCCATATCCATATCCAAAGAAACTGGGGGAGTGTCACCCCGGACTGTTTGAAATCCCGATTTTCAGGCGGCAAAACCACCTAAACCACCCAGTCATACTCAACAAAGCATCAGCTGCTACTAAAATGGAAGCTCCAATCAAACCAGGGACTTGCTACACAAAAAGTGATGTTTTTCTCCTGCTTTTTCCAATATTATATGTTCCTGTATTCTTCCTAGGGTTGCCTATGTATTTGTCCCTATCCCCGTAAATTCCTATGTTTTTTCCCCATGGAAACGACAACAACCTGCCCAGGCGGTGCCTAAGACGAATTCGAAGCTGAACTGCTTGGGGACATCCACTTGCTCCACCTGCCATGGAAATCCCAGAACATCAATCGGAAACTATATGAAAATATGGGATATTGGGATATATCTTACAACATCTATTGTATAAATGAAGGTTCCTAGCTGGAAAAAAAAACTTTTCCAGCACGTAAACTTTTGATTTATTACCTCGTCCATTGGGGAATAGCCTCGCCACACTTGCCATCATGAAGTTGGCACCTCATCTGCTTTGGACCTTCTCCATTGCCGAAGGGTGAAGCTCCCCGGACACCGTTTCAAACAGCACTTCGAATACTTCCTCTGATTGGCTGACACCTTTTCTTACTGGTGCGTTTTACGTGTTGCTGGATGGGTTATGGATGGGTTGCTGGGATTATTATTAATAGATATTACAAGTAATAGTTATCTAATTGGTGGTTTCAACCCCTCCGAAAAATATTGGTCAGTTGGGATGATTATTCCCAATATATGGAAAAATAAAAAATGTTCCAAACCACCAACCAGTTATTATTGTGGATCATTCCCGAAATTTCCCTACGTAAAACGCACCAGTAAGTTTTTGGAAGCTGCCAAAATCCACACATGGTGCTGGTCTCCAGAGTCTCCACGGTCTCTGTGTGGATGGCTTGCCATGTACCGGCTCAGTTCACTAGCCTCAAATGGGGAATTTCACCAAGCAAAATAGGGAACCTGCTGCCGTGCTCGAACAAAATGATACATTCATCACATGGGGGTTTCCTAATGGCTGGGGGTACCCTTGATAGCTGGTTGGTTTATAATGAAGATTCCTATTCAAATGGATGATTTAAAGGTACCCCCATTTCAGGAAACCTCCAAATAAGACTTGGACAGGAATGGGAAACATTTCCAGTTGATTGACCGTCCTTACTTCTAGCCAGTTCATGTCTGCTTTTATTCGAAAATAATCTATTGACAAGGTCTTTCTAGTTGATCACTGGTTTTTTACTATGATTTCTTCATTAGAATATTTATAGAAAGGTCATGCAAGGTCTTCAATATGTCATAGCTATCAAGTGGTTGAGGAACTCGTGGTAGCTGGTGGCTACTGTTTTCCACCAAGGAAAACAAAAGACACATACCAATAAATATGCATATATATATATATACACGTATGTTACATATACATATACCACAAAAACATATACCCTCTGGTAATTTAACATAGCTACTGGAAATGACCATTTATAATTTATAAGTGATTTCCCTATTAAAAATGGTGATTTTCCATAGCTATGTTAGTTTACCAGAGGGTATACAATATGTATAAATGTTGATACGTGAACCATAGCTGCCATAGCTCATTGCCGTGACCCGCTTCAGAGTCCCACCTTGTTGACGTCCTTCAGGTCGTTCAGCAACTGGTTCTTCTCCTGGCATCCCAGAACTTGGCGGTGTGACGGGGGCAGGATCAAATGGGACATGGCAGCATTGTGGGAATGATGGTATAATATGGTAAATAACGATGGAAAATCACCATGTTTAATGGGTAAATCAACTATTTCTATGACCATTTTCAATAGCAAACTGATAAATTACCAGAGGGTAGAAGTATAATATCTGGTTGCTGGTTGACCTACCCCTCTGAAAAATATGAAAGTCAGTTGGGATGATGACATTCCCAATATATGGAAAAAACAAAGAATGTTCCAAACCACCAGCCAAATAATAGTACTATATTATGTTCGATTTTATACTATCACGGTATACTATAATGGTATTATGGTATAACAGAACATATGGTATGCTTTATCATATGCATAGAGTTGATTATCTGAGTACTACTATGGTATATGAGTAGATGATGGTATAATCATAGGGACTCAAAAGACTTATATAGCTAACATTGGGATGATAATAACAATAGGGACTCCACTGACTTAACTATCAAACATTGGGATGGTATAATATGGTACAATCCCTTCCCCATTAATATTAAACAATCCCAACAAAACCATTGTCTTTGTACAGGATGGAACTGCATATTTGGGATCATAGAATGGGTGTGTTTAATATGTTGGGAATGCGATTACTCAGTCTAAGAGGAATCCCTAGGGACTTGTGACACATTCCTAAACTTAACGAATTTGATCCGAATCCTCGGCTTTTGATCGTGAAAACTTCCATAAAGTTCCCTTATTTTTTTAGCAAATTGAAGATGATCAGCCAAGTGAGATATATCCCAGTAACAACTGGAATATAGATGAATATAGTGTTAATGGATGGGAATCTAGCTACTGACTGGCTCAATGATGGTTGATGGTGGCTGAATTGTGATAAGCCACCAACCAGTTTTTGTTGGAGTGCTTCTCTCATATACTAAGAATCATTGTTTTAGTGACAGCATGGTGGGTTCAACTCCCGGTTACTGGCCCCACGGTTGCTTAGCGATTCACTCCATTCAATATTAATATCATCCCATTTGGTTCCATGAGTTTTCCATTGAAGTGGCCATTTAGTTCCGGGATAACATGTGTAAATTCCATGGTTTTTTTGTTGATGATGTTGATTGAGTCAGTTAAGTCCCTATATTGTTGATATTTATGTTCCATTTTATCACTTTAAAATCTCAACAAATACATACAAATACGCAATAAGTAATGCCTCCATTGATTCCCTTGTTTTTTTGTTGGTTAAGTCACTGTTAATTCTCCATCTTCTCGTCACAAAAACGATTCTCCCCAGGCTCATCTCCTCATTGGACAGCAACTCGACTCCAGGTTGCTGCCCTTCTTCTTCCTACGCGGCTTCACAACGGGTTAGACCATCTGCCAACCACCTTGGCCCCTCCAAGTAGCCATAAAATTGGTGCTTTACTCCATAATTTTGATGTACCAGGCTAAGCTACCACTTTTTTGGGGGATCTAACTAGTGTTGTCTAATTGGTTGTTATACCCAGTTGCAAACACAACAATTTTCAATTGGAGGTTTAACAATTGGGTTTCACAATTGGGATACTTTACATACATCACAAAACACCGTGTTAACTTTGTTTCTAGATCCTCAGAATGTAATTCCAAAAAGATAGAACGTTGTTCAATTTACCCTCTGGTAAACTAACATAACTATGGAAAATCCCCATTTTTAATGGGAAAATTCACTATAAATGGCAATTTTCAATAGTTTTTTGTATGTTTACCAGAGGGTATCATTGTTTTAGGAGCGGATTTGGTCAAGTTCGGATTAAGTTTGGGGATGACCGTCTGACTAAATCATCATTTTCAACCGGTTGAAATCACCATCTTCCAATATGTTCCCCATTTGAATCCCATTCAAATCATCATATCTTTTCACCATTTTTTGCCAAGCGCAGGCCAGACAGGCTGAGCGCAGAATCCAACGTAATCATGCAAAAATACTGTGCCGGGGGGTGAAACTGATCTCTACCTTGCAGTGCCATGTCAAAAAAAAAAAGTCCATTTAACGTCTCAAATATCGGGATTTCATATGGGATTTCCATGTTTTTCGATCCTATGACTTGGGGTGGCCTCCTCTGCGGAGCCCCAGAAGCGGCCGAAGAAACCCGAGTTGGCCGAGCGCTTCGCCACACGTTCCTCGGGGTTTTTGGGGGTGTGGAAAGGTCATATGCCATGTGTGATAGATATGACCAGGAATACTTCGGAATGAGGATGTTTCATGGAATTCATCAACAAAGATGGTGATGTTGGTGGAAGTTGAATGGAGTTAAAATATAACGAACAAAACTGGTGATGCAATGGAAGTTGAATGGGATGTTGACTAACACGAATGGTGATTTAATGGGATTTAGCGGCTGGCATTTGACCACAAGGTGGTGCCCCAGTTGGTTGCCTGGATGATAGATGGCAGATGTAACTTAGTTCACTGCTGTTAACCAACATATAACCAGGGGAAAGGTGCGTTGAACACGGTAAAATCTGGTTGGTGGTTTCAACCCCCTGAAAAATATGAGTTCGTCAGTTGGGATGATCATTCCCAACATATGGGAAAATAAAAAATGTGCCAAACCACCAACCAGATGGGATTTGAATTAACTAACAAAAAAATGCAATTTATCCATGATCAGAGGGGGTTGCACCAACGGAAACGCTGCATTTCATCAGCAAAGACATGTGCGTGCCTGAAAATGGTGTACAATACATATCTCCCAAAGGGATATTTCAACGGAAACATGATGATCATAGAAACCACACAAAGAACACATTGTCACCCCCACTGTTGCATAGAATTTTATACTGTTCTATCTTTTCTGGGGGGTTGTCTTTTACCATTGGAAGGGCCACCATGAACTCATCAACGCCACCCCAGGAGCCATCTCCAATTGTTTCTGTCGTCGTGCCACCTCCTCATTCAACACCTGCATGGGTCCCGGCTGTGATTGTGGGGGAAGGGGGTATTGTAGTTATGAACCAAGTTAGCTATCTAGGGGGGCCCCACCTTGTGTTGTGTTTTGGGTCATTTTGGGTCATGGGGATTTGGCCAACTGAAATGACAACAGCAATACGAGATGACTAAGATGCGCCCTTATTAGTGGTTGTTGGTGATTAATGGTGATGAAATTTCACATAGTTTCACCCTTAATAATCCCAAACATTATTTGAGCCATTAGAAATACCCCTATCCAATCTCCTTATACTAGTTGGTTGATAGGTTTCCCTACTATAGGTTATCACAATCCCCCAGCAAATTAGGTAGCATAAGGCCCTACAAGAACCAATCAACCGGGGTATTTTTAATGGTTCATTTGGGGTGGTTCACATTTGTGGGCGGCTTGTACGGAATCTCCATGCGTTCGACTGGTTTTGCCACCGCATGAGGATGATCGGAGATCAAGCTGTTCCTTGCTCCAAGAGGATCCTAGAGGCCCAAGATCGCCCCACATCGATCTTTTTGCCCAGCACAAAGTCCTGATTTCACAAGGCCAAGAGATGCCAAGAGCTTGACTGCGCACAGAGCCTTCTTCCTGCGTCTTTAAGCGGTTTTGCGGTGCTCCTGGAAAGAGGTCGAACCATAAAAAACCAACCGCAAAATGGTGGTCTAAAAACATGTTACTGAAAATTGTGAAGGGTCTTCACACTCCTCCTTGCACTTGGGCATTGGGGAATGGCCTTAAGAGCCTGTCGCCAAACCAGGCCCAAGCACTTAAAACCAGGCCCGTCAAGCAATGTCCGGCACCCACGCTGCGATATGCTTCAACCACGACTTACTGATCTCACTGGGTCGGTGGGGGACACCTCTCTGCAGATCCAGGGATATTACCAGAGACTAATGACTAAGAAATGAGAACCTTCAAAACTGGGAGATTCCCCTTTCATGTCCTGAATTAATTGGATTTTATATGATTTTATGGTGCTGGACGCTGGACAATCACTTGCAACAATATGTTTTCTTACGAACTGTTGATTCTGTGTCACTAACCATGGCCAAGCTTACATACATTGTATTTGTTGAGCTGGCTAGGTTGACACGCCCCCAATAATTCGTATACCGTATGGGATGATACTAAACTATCGGTCCAGTTGTTTACCCGGTTAACAAGCATACAGCCCGGTTTTTCTTCCTTGAATATTTGCATTTATATCGGGATTTAACCATAATAGCACCATGACGAAACCATAATAATACAACAATGAAACCAGCTGAAGCAACAATAAAACCATAATGAACTAGTCCCACAATTAAACATACTAAAACCATAAACTAACCATGTGACCAGTTCACCCCCCTCATCCCACACGTTGAACATCGCCGGCTCCGGCTGTCTCCGCCTCTGTCTGACGTTCCGCCTTGTAGCGGGCCCGTGCCAACAAGCGGGCCGAGAGCACAGCCTGCGACATGTTCAGAAACACCGGTGGTGGTATTGGATTACCCTCTGGTAAACTAACATAGCTATGGAAAATCACTATGTTTAATGGGAAAATCCATTATAAATGGCAATTTTCAATAGCTATGTTAAATTACCAGAGGGTAATGCAAAGATCAATGATGAATATGGCCTAAAATTCAGGCCTAAATTACTCGTTGGTGGTTTGAACCATCTTGAAAAATATGAGTTCGTCAGTTGGGAAGGGTTACCTCATTTTTTAATGGAAAATAAACAATGTTTGAAACCACCAACCAAATTATCAATTGATTATCAAATGATTATGGCGTTAATCACTGATGATAATGAATAATAATGGATACTCAATGACTCAATTGTATATTATACCCTCTGGTTATTTAACATAGCCATGGAAAATCACCATTTTAAATAGGTAAATCCAGGTAAACCACCTATAAATGGGCCATTTTCCATGGCTATGTTAAATAACCAGAGTGTATATTGAATTGGGTTTACCATTCTGTGTCCTCAAACGTGGCGATTGCATTGCCCGAACTAAACGAGCCATGGAGGTTTACACCTGAAAAATCATGGGACTAAATGTGGAAATGTTGACGCCATGTTTGACTACCGGAGGCTAATCTCAACCTATCTCAACCAAAAAGACCTGGATTGAACGGTCCCAAATATATGTCTATCATCGTAGATCCCTTGCTATAGCATGGTTTATGGGGGGTGTTTAATGTATATATATATATACCTCACCAGTTGGCTCGGCGCTGCCGGTGCTGCAGCAATCCATTGCCCTCTTGGATCAACGGCTGCCATGGGATGTTCTCCCTCATCTCTTTCAACCCCCATGTGGCTTGAACCATATGCCACCAAACTGCTAATCAAAACCCGTTGCAAACCATTTCCTACTTGGATGTGCATCCAAAACTTACAAACTGATATTTATGAGCCACATAGTTCAGTGAGGATGTTTCATATGTATGCCCTCAAGTGCCACATGAGCCATGAAAATTACTCCTATCCCATCCCACTATACTGGTTGGTTGATAGATGCCTCCATCATAGACTATGATTACATATATTTATATACTAGAATAATCACCAACGAACATATTGGTATGATTTACACCTCTTCTGGTCCAAGTCGGAAAGAAGGGAAACGCGGTCGGACGGGACCAGCTCCAACTTGCACTCTGCCATCCTTAAGGGACTCCACCCAGTGGACACTCGTCAAAACATCCACCCTGTGGTCCTTGATGCGCCCCACCCCAAGAACAGGAAGATTCCACTATGAATCTCTTGTCAGCCCGGCACCGCCATGCGAGCCTTCTTAGACTTCAGATTCTTTGGAGAGATACAGTATAATCATATGAACCCATCAATCATTTATCAATTAATATCCCCACATGCTAGACAGTCAAAACTCCCTAAGCCAGCCCTAAAACTGACGGCTAATGCCTATCAACCTCCCATCAAACCGCATCAAGATCCCATGATCTCATTATTAAAGGTTACCCTCCGGCAATCTTAAACATAGCGTGCTGGAAAATCCCTCCATTTAGTTTGAGAATTATCCCAACTATAAACTTCCATTTGCCAAATGGGAATGTCCAAAAAAGCCATGTTTCAGTACCTTTGGGGGTAACCATCAAAACTATAGGGGCATATTTAACAAGAAATGATGTCAGTAATCATTAAAACCACCCCTGTGAAAATTGATGATTGGAATCCCACCCATAGAAATGGAAAGTCACTGGGGATGCTGGATCCTATTGCTTTACTAACAATAGACCAGTTCAATCCCACTTTTTTTGTACATCTCTCATTTATATCATATAGCCAGTTATCCGTTCATCTCGCATTAAATCACCATTCAACCACCATGATGGAACATGATCTATCAGAAATTCTCCCATAAAATCACCATTATCTATCATTATCTCACATAAAATCGCCCATTTATCTCCCATTAAACAATCACCATTATCTCATCGCATGGATCATCGCCTCCAACACCTGCAGCTCGCGTCGTTCCTGGTCGCTCAAGGGGGCCAGACGCGTGGCCTCGCAGTCCTCGGACAAAGACGAGGAAAACCATGGGGGGGATTAGGCTATTAGGCCCAAACAATGGGGAAAATGATGCGGAAGGTCCTAGTTGATTGATAGAGGTTTTTGCACCATTCACCTGGTACAAAACATCTTTGTTGCCTGAATCTGTTACAGTAAAGTTTGGTTAATTTCTGAATAGCTACAAGTTGGTTTAGAATTAAACGTATAGGTTGGGGTTTATGGATGGCATGTCTACAGTTGACTGGCTTTCTGGGAATATTTGGCCAACAAAGAAACGGAGACACACATGTACACCAACAGAGCAAGAAAGTTGACCAACATGTGGACGATTCTCGGAAGATGACATAACAGGCCCTAAGATGAAGAATGAAAGCCCATTAGTTACTAATTTAAAATGGAGATCAAGCCGCCGTTCAAATGGGAAAACCAAGGCACAACAAAAAAAGGCACAACAAAAACTGTTGTTCCGCAACCAAGAACCGCACTAACAACTTGAAACCATCCACTTTTGAAATGTCATACAGTAAATATAAGGTAATGCAGTTAGAAACGTGCCATGGGCCTGGCTAAAACCTTAACAAACTATATGGCTATATGGTCAAAACATGTCAAAAAAACAAAACATATTTGAACCGAATGGGACAATGACCTAATTACTACATAGCATTATCTACGCCTAAACTCATGACACACCACAATCTTCATGCTACGACCCAGTAACAGTTTCCGGGTCCAAAAAACCGCTGGATCTACCCGGGTTCCAGCGCCCCAGAGGCCCCAGAGGGCCGCTCCTGAGAGATGTCTCGCTCGTAAAGCTTGGTGTACCTTTCGATGGACTTGTCTGCATCCTGGCAGTGGTTTTCTGGGCCTGGTCACCTTGTCGTTGTTTTTTTGGCAACCCATCGACTCCCTATACCAACAAAAAATATGTAACTGTAATTAAACCAAAAAATGTGGCACGTGACTGAAAATCAACCCCACTTCTTGAAACTCTAGGTTTCTTCAATGAAAAACACCATCTAATAATTCGAAGAAAAAAAACATGACAGCAAATCTGGGTTTTTGCCAACGTTCATACAGTTATGGCCATTTATTAGTTATAACTATAGTTATAACTGCTTGTAAATGGGATTATGCATTCTATAAATGGGGTTTTGTATGGTTTTGTTAGTACTTATAACATCTTATAACTGGTATTAACTGGGCCATACATCGCCAAACGCGTCCTTGGTGATCTCGTTGATGTCCTTGGTGATCTGATTGGCATCCTTCTCAGTGGGCGATCCTCACGAAGATGGGGTTAAAATGGGTTAAACATGGGTTACCGTTCTGGTAAACGAACTAACATAGCTATATGGAAAGATCCACCATTTTCAATGGGTAAATCCACTATTTCTATGGGTCATGTTCAATAGCTTTTTGTATGCTTACCAGAGGGTAAACAGATGGATCAACAAAGATTTACCATGTTTCTTGGGATCCATTGACTTGGCCTTGGCCTCATCCCAGATGCTGCCCAAAGACTGATTGCAACATCGAGTTGTTTCACATGAAAATCCATGGGTTTCCCTGGGAAATACCCTCTGGTAAACTAACATAGCTATTGAACATGGCCCATAGAAATAGTTGATTTATCTATTAAAAATAGTGATTGTCCATAGTTATGTTAGTTTACCAGAGGGTAATCTACATACTGTGGATTTTCCATATCTATGTTGGCTTACTGGAAGCTAATTCTGATCAAATGCAACGTTCAACCAGGTGAACAATTATCCGTGCATTTAGGTGAATTCGCCCTCGCTTCTACCCAGTCAACCCTGAGGACCTTATAATCCAATGTGTCACTACTGTCTTTGCGCAGAGTCTTTGCTTGTTCTGTTCAATCTATCTCCTATTGTGTTTCTGCAATTCATTATGTCAAACATCCAAGCATCCAGCCATTCACTTTTGCGGTATGGTTTTCAATTGGGCTGACAACATTTCAAAAATCAATGTGCATCATCCCATTGGTTATCACATATATTATACTAACCCCTATATTAGTAAGTGGTTTATGCTTATATTATGATATATTATGGCTGTGCTCCAGGTGCATCCCCCAGATTATGCATCCCCCAAGAAACCGAGTCCGCAGCCCGGACTCGGCCCCTCGAGTCATTCCCATGGCGACTCGGCTCGGGCCTGCAATGCTCTGCACCAACAGCAGCTGGTGCTGCCGTGACTCCTCATTGAGATCGCCTGTGATGGACGACTTCTTGACGTTGGTTTTGTCAAAGGGTTCGTTCTGTAGCACCTGTCTTTGGAGCTGTTCTTTATATATCATCGTATGTGATCTTATATATATAATTGTATATATATATATTTATATCCACAAACTTGTAAGATATCTTGGAAGTTGTTCAATATCTTAAAAACATCATTTGGTCTACAGATTCTACAGCTACTTTAAGATCTTTACCCTCTGGTAAACTAACATAGCTATGGAAAATCACCATGTTCAATGGGAAAACTCACTATATATAAATCACCATTTTCAATGGGAAAACTCACTATAAATCACCATTTTCAATGGGAAAACTCACTATAAATCACCATTTTCAATGGGAAAACTCACTATAAATCACCATTTTCAATAGCTATGTTAAATTACCAGAGGGTATATAAGTCCTCACCATGACTTCCCACGTGTCGCTGCCAGGCGGCTCTTCAGGGTGCGCAGGTGCTTCACCTGTGAACGCCGTAGGAAGACTTCAGCCAACTCTTCGGTGGCCACCAACAACTTGATCTTCCTAGGCTGTCACTGCTTGGTGGCTCATCCTATTAGTAAGTGGGTTATAACCCCAGTTCTAAGTGGATTAGCCCTACTTATCCCATTTATAACTCCGGTTTCTAAGTAGATTAGCCCTACAAAAATCCCATTTATAACTCCGGTTATAAGCCACTTACGAGCAGTGGGATGAGCCACCAAGTGGCTTGTCACGGGAAAATCCTCACCCGGTTTTACCATCTCTCTCTCCATCGCATCCATCGCATCCATCGCCATCTCCAAGAGTTGGATGCCAAAGGCTAAGGTCGAGCCAAGCCCAGTGCTCCAACCATGGAACCATGAGTTTTTCCATGGTTTTTCAATGTTTTTTTTTATTGGTTTTTCAAGGGTTTTTCTCCATGAAATATAGTCGTTTCTGGCCGTCATTAGGCTGTTATTGGGCTGTTATTCTGTCATGGTTTCGATTGGTTTAGATTGGTTTAATATGGTTTAATAAGGGATCATTCACAGGAAAACAATGGACAGCATTGGAAAACCCGATATTCTACATGGAAAATGTATGGTTTCCGGTTAAGATCTTCACTTAAACCAATCCACTGAAAGGGCTGAAGGGCAAGGATGAGAACGCGTCATGACATCATCCAAGTACATCAAGTTCTGGAATCGTCTGTGTAGAAGTTGCAGACCCACACGAAGCAGTAGCTGTGGCTAAATTTATGGCCAGTTCATGGGGAAAATCATGATACTGGGTACCAACTACTGGATGGGGATAATCATTGATGAAATGTCTCTATTTTGTTGGCTGCACCTTTTAGATCCTTTTAGCAAACTGGCAAATGGCTTCACCTGAGACTTCCCAGTGCGGAAGAACCCCTCGGCTTCAGAACAGCCATCGACCGGCTGGGGATACGGTTGGTCTGCGCCCAGGCCCAGGATGATAAAAGACGCGCCCGAATCAAGGCATGATACATCTTCCCAACTGTATCAAGAAGCATGATGCCTCGCATTCCCGAGGCAGAGCAGCAGATTTCTTGGCAATGGAATGAATGACGCCCTTGAACTGCAGTGGCTCAGAAGCGAGGACCCATGCTTTCAGGAAGAGGGCGTGAAAGCCAGCAGAGAAATACCCTCTGGTAATTTAACATAACTATGGAAAATCACCATTTTTAATGGGTAAATCCACTATAAATGGTCATTTTCAATAGCTATGTTAAATTACCAGAGGGTAGGTCAAATGGTGCTGAAGCTCTTCTGCCACGATGGTGTCAAGACCAGGGGCCTTGTGTTTCTTAGTCCTGCGACAGGCCACCAGTGCGAAGCTGAAGCAAGTTGCGGATGGGTCTCCGACGACTGTACCAGCGTGGAAAGCAATGACATCGTGGATAAATACCGAAATGGAAGAGAATTTAGTGACCGGAATCTGGACAAAAATCAACAACCTGGATGAAGGAAAAAAATGGGGTGATTTCCTGTGATTTCCACAGTCCCAACCATCATCAGTGGTGTTGTGAACTCCTTATAATTCACCTATATTCATCACATCCCCGTCCCCATGACATCCCCTTGAGAACCACGATTTTTTCGATGATTTAAGCAGCTTCCCATGACGGATCCATGGTGCTGCTATATTAATGGTAACATGGATCCCATCAATATACCCCAGTCATGTTAGCATATATATATATACTAAATATATATATATACACTATATATATATATACTATATATATATATATACTATATACCTACTATATACCAGCACCATGGATCCTATGGGCTTTGAAGCTGAAGTGGACCCTTCCTTTTTTTCACCACAAAAAACCGGTCCATTCTCCGAGTCTCAGGAGGTTGTTGGCAGGCTCATGGGCCAGCTGAAGATTGGCGCTCACTGGACATAGGACGTATTCCGCGTCCTCAATGGAGGACACCCAGATGGACAGCTGGTGCCCCTCCTTGTGAAATGGATGGTGTTTCAACCCTGTTACCCTCTGGTAAACTATGGTAAACTAACATAACTATGGAAAATCACCATTTTCAATGGGAAAATCCACCATAAATGGTGATTTTCCATAGCTATGTTAAATTACCAGAAGGTAACCGATATATCTGCCATCCACAAAGCCAACGCTTACCCTACTTCTAAAACCAGTTTTGGTAACAAACTGGGGCACATTTTGCCCCAGCCATGTTGGCACTTTTGTCTCTGAACTACATTATATATGAAATAAATTGAAATAA